TCCGGAGGTGACGCCAAGAAGCAGGAAAAGCAGGGAGACCATGTGGAACCACAACTGCAGAGGCGAGAGGAATGTCCAGACAAGTCGGTAGATTTATCACAGTAGAGTCAAAATCGTGAGGCAAGAGATCGCAGGCAGCAAAAAGGTTAAAGAAAGGACTGGTATAAGTTCGGAATCGAGGGTGTCTGAGGTCAGGAAAAATGAAAGGAAGATGGGGATGGACATCAGGTAGATAATGCCGAAGAAGATATAGCAGCCAAGGCAACACCAGACCAGAAGGAGACGAAGTGGATTGGAATAGAGGTCGAAGCCAACGGAGCTGAAGGGCACCTTGTTGCAGTTTTGGATTCAAAACCCCTAAACCGCCCATTTTTGTGGGGAGACATAGAGTGTCAAGTCTAATCGGTGGGAAGCTTCGATGCTGAAGAAAGCGACCCATGAGAGAGCGAACTTTTGTAAAGAATGTGCCGGGAACAGATACAACACGAAGAACGTGCCAGAGCTTTGACAATATAAGAGAGTTTAGGACAGTAGCACGGCCACGGAAGGACAAGGCGCGGGAGAGGTGGATATGTGAAGCTCGCTCTATCTTAGACAAGATTTTTGAGCAGAAGGAGTTGCGTTGGGTGAGGGAGGAGATGATCGGAAAGCCAAGGTAGCGGAGAGGTTCTGGAGAGCGACTATCATGCCAATCGACAATCTGCAAGCTGTGAAGGGTGTCCGCCCAGTGAGGATGAGGTCTGCCTGACAGAGAGAAAGCTTGGGTCTTGTGAAGGTTGATGCGTGCGTTGGAAGCAGAGGCATAGGTGGCGAGGTGGTGCTGCAATCGGGACATGTCCTGGATCTGCGGGAGGAAAACCAGAAGATCGTCGGCATAAGCGAGTAGCTTTATGGGTGGAGGTGCGGGATGTTCAGGCGTACTTTGGATCTCAAATCCAGGAAACTGAGGGTCGTGTATGAGTCGGCGCAAAAGTGGTTCAAAGGCCAGGTTAAACAGAACAGGGGACATGGGGTCACCCTGTCTGAGTCCACGTGCTTGACAAAGAGGACGAGAGAGAAAACCGTTCACATTAATCTTAAGGTCGGAAGAGAAGAAAAGATTAGTGGTGCAGGTTATAATTGAAGGAGGAAAACCGAATTTAACAAGAACTTGTTGAAGATAGTCAGGGTGAACCCGATCGTAAGCCTTTTCCTGATCCAAGAGAAGACCGATTCCAGAGTGACCAGTAGAATTGGCATGATCCATAACCAGCTTCGTAAGTATACCGTTATCAGCAATGAAGCGACCACGGACAAATCCTGTTTGATACGGAGATACAAGCACTCCAGCAGCTTTGACCATTCGAGCGTTGAGAAGCCGAGTGAAAATCTTGGCATCGGCGTTGATCAGAGCAATCGGTCGCCAATTCTTCAGGGATGAGAGATCGCCTTTCTTGGGCAACAGAGAAACACATGTTGTTTGCCAGGATGAAGGGAATTGGCCACTACTAAGAGCATCATTGTACACTTGTGTCAGCAACTGGGAGCAAGAATGGTGATGAAAAATGAGTTGGAGGATCTCATAAGGGAGGCCGTCCGGTCCTGGGCTACTTGTTCGTGGAGAGCGAGACACGCCTTCTCGTATGTCTTCGATGCAAAGTTCAGCAGTCAGAGAGGAACATACGGTATCAGAGAGGCAGAGATCGTTGGGAAGGTGGCGAAGTAAATCGTCTATGGCTAGTTGATCTATTGGTTCAGGTGTATACAGGCCTTCGTAGAAAGAAGCGGCAGCTTCAGTAATGCCATCAGGCTCAGTGTGTAAGTGGTCAGTGATGGGATGGCGTAGTTTGGTGATGTTCTTTCGGGCTTGGCGTTCTGCAACTGTTCGCTTGAGGTATCCTACGGAGATCTCTCCATTCTCTCGCCAATGTTTGCCTGCACGCAGGGCAAGAATTTCCACTCTCTCCAGCTGGACTTGTTGCAACTGTCTTTCAATAATGGGCAATTGGAAGTTTTGGGCGGGTTGTTGTCTGAACTTGTGGATTAACTTGTCACGTTTACTTTGAAGTCTGGCCTCCAGTGTAGTGAGTGTTTGTGTGCGGCGCCTAGTAAAGGACTTAATGAATTTTGTAAGCATATGTTTTAATCTATCCCATTGGTCTTGTGGGGACATATAGGGAGAAAGTAGAAATACGGAGGTAGAAATATAGGCGTCAAATTCAGTGCAAAAAGTGGGGTTGCGGGCAAGACGAGGGTTGGCGCGCCACATTCCCTTTCCTGTTGCATGGTTGGCGGTAAACTTAAAAGTAGTGGCTACTAGACAATGATCGGACCAATTCGGATGTATATAGGACACAGAAGAGGACTGACGGCACGGGGCAAGGTCGGAAGAAGCAAATACATAATCTATGGAGGAGGAGCAAAGTTGTCGGTGGAAGGTTGGGACAGGGACTTCACCACTCAATGTGACACAATCCACGAAATGGTTAGAAATAAAGTTAAGCCATTCGGGAGGGGCCTGGCGAGGGTTAGAAGAAGTAGTGCGGTAGGTATAATTGAAGTCGCCCAAAAGTATGCATGAGGATGGGAGACGAGGAAGTAGTGCTGGAGAGTTGAGAAGAGAGCGGAGGAAAGAAAAGCGGTCCCGGTAGGAAGCTGGGGCATAAACAACGCATATACGGAAAGAGGGAATGGAATTATTAGTATGTATGACTGTAGTAGAGATGCAACGGCCACAAGGGCTGAATAGAGGGTTAATGAAAGATAGGTGCGGAGAAAGAGAAACAAGACCGCAGTGCGGAGACCATAAGGAATCTTGGGCATGGAATTGTGTATGGAACATCTGTTGGAGATGTTCAGTATTGGCATGAGTTTCTTGAAGGGCGAGTAAATCGATCCCGCAGGATCGAAGGTGTCTTATAAATAGGGAGCGCGTTTGTGGGTGGTTAGTTTTAGCTAATCCACGGCAATTCATAGATGCAATTTTTATCATAATTATTATTGGGGGATAGTTTCTTCAATACCCTTCATAGGGTCGTCTTCGCAGTTTTTCTCAAAGTATGCCTCCACCTCTGCCAAGTCGTCATCGGTGAGCGTGGGATCATCAGCGGGGAGTGTTTCCCTATCAACTAAGTTCGCCTCAAAAGGGAGTGGAGGTGTTTTTGGTGACTTGGTGCGTGAATCGGCGGGTACAGCTTTGGTGGTTTTGGCGGGGTTGTGTTGAGACCCGGCAGAAGAGAGGGAAGGGTCAAGTAGGGCATAAGGGTTGGCTGTGGTGAAGGAGGGGGGGAGGGTCTTCTTCATATGTGAGCCAGAGTGAGTTACAGTGGGTCGGTTGGTGGTGTTGCGGGTGGCAGTGGTGCGATGGGGGCCATGCGGTTCAGGAACCTTGCGATCCCGTTTGTATGAGTTGTCCACTTCGGCAGCACGAGGGCATTTAGAGCGAAGATGGCCGACCTGATGGCAGCCATAGCACGAGCGAGTTTCTTTTGGTCGAGTGGGGCAGTTGTCGCGGTCATGGCCCATGGTTTGACATAGAGCGCAATGGGCTCCCATATTGAGCCAAGTGGCCAAGAACGTCGTGTTATCATCGAAATCCATTTTAAAGCGTAGTGGAAGGAGGGCACCTTCCTCATATGGAGGACGCTCCACATATGCGTGTCCACTTCCATCCATAAACCCAAACAACGTGTTAATGGAGATATCGTGCACATAGCCATATTTCGTGAGAGCATTACGAAGTTTGGTATCCAAGGTAGCGTACTCTTGAGGAGGGAATCGGGGGAGCTTTGACAAAGTCAGCTTAAACAATTTGGATGAGCTAGCAATGGCAGGGGAGGCAAGAACAGTTTCGTTGTTGTACCGAAAGCCTACACGACAAGCACGAGCACAAACATCTTTGGAGCTCAAGTGGAGCTCAAAGAGGGTACCAGCTTTATTGGAAGGGTTCAGGCCAAAGATTTCGCCAGGCAAAAAGGACTGGAGCAGAGCGTCAAAGAAAACAATGAATTCGGGAGAGGTTTCCGGGGGAGTAGTGTAGTAAACGGAGAACTGGCTAGTACTTTCTCGCCAAGTGCGAGGTTTTGTCAGGGGGTCATTAGACCCAAGTACGATGGCATGGCGGAATGTCGGTGCGGTGTTTGTTAGGGCAGTCAAGTAGGTGAGAGGGAGTCCGGGTGTGGGTGTTGTGATAGTGGGTGAATTGTTTGTATGGCCGTTTATGAGGTGTTCCCCTGTGGGGGGGTCCGGTTGTATAGCGGAGGAAGCCATGAGGTTAGTTAGCAAGAAAGAACCAGTGTTTGATTGTGGAGACTGTTCTTCACTCAATTGTGGTGTGTATACCACAATAGCTATTTGATTTGAACCAAAATTTTCGTTCTTGCTTTAGTATCAAATTTTTATAGGAATAAGATATTTAAATAAACTTAGACAAATAGTTTTTTTCTTTCTTAGAATAGTATGACTATTGCTTCTTAAACTGTCTGAATGGGGGCAGCCGGTCTACCTCGTAATTAATATGAAAAGATTAGTGTATTATCTTGTAAAAATAAAATAAATCATTTTAATTAGCTATGGAAACATAATACGATGAAACATTTTTTTACATTTTTTTTAAAAAAAAAGAAATTCTTAATAATCATGATAAAGAAGATCTAAAGCAAGATGTATATATTGACTTTTATAATGGCTCATGTTGTGTGATTAATACAACACTATTCTTTGTGTCATTTGTTTTCTAGTCATAAAATTTTCGATTATATATGGGTCTTGTTTTATTTTTGCTATTAGACCTCTCCATATATGGTGTTTTTCTTTAGATGAATTCTTACATTTCCAATTGTAATTATCCTGTTTTATAATTCTTTTAACTGGTGCCTGCAAAATCTGGTTATATGTATTGTACAGCTCTCATTTTACTCGGCTTTGATATTTTGCATATTACTGTATACTTTTTTTTTGAGTTTATTAGTTGTCTCCTCTATGACCGCTCAAATCAAATACATGAATAGTTTTTTTTTCAAATGGCCTATTTGGAAAATCTGAACAATGCTCCTAATTTTTCCAGGTACCCGATCTTATAGTCAGTAAATCTTTCATTTGTTGTATTTAATATACACTCTGAATTACTTGGAATTGTTTTAGGGTTAGTATCCAAATATTAAGAAAAAGTAAGTCTTACGAGAATTTTATTTATTAAAGAGAGTCAAATATGACTGTATATATATTACTATTCAAGTTCTTGCTGTGTAATTGAGGTATTCGGGATTGTTTATGGGTTAGTATCTCAATAATGGGAAAAGGAGATACTGTGAGAGTGTTATTTATTAAAGAGACAAAATAATATTGTTTTTATATCTGCTACTATTCAAATCCCTGTAATTCAAATCTCTGTAATTCAAATCCCTGTTGTGTAATGGTTGGTTTACACTGTATGAGTGTATAATGTTCATGTGCCTGGTGTGTAGCAGTTCTGGAGATTATTAACTTTTCAGGTTTATTGGCAAGAAGAGACCAGTGTTTGGCTATGGCTTTTATTTCGCTCAAGTGTAGTATGTATACTACAAGACCTACTAAAAATTGCACCATATTATACAGAAACTTCATTTTTACATTTATGTGGTTTAAATCAGCCGAAATAACAATGGGGGATCCGCACAGTATTAACAATATATCTCCCCACAAAAAGCAAATCCTTGAAAAGAATGATAGTATAGTAATTCCACTTGCCTGACCGACCATAATACTACTAGGATTCTAAATATTGGTTATTTTACCCATTTTTTTCCTTGCTAAATTATTACTATATCGAGTGCTGACTCTACTTATCTCTATTGCTAACGGCTTTTGAGCCTTTGGTAATGATCGACCACAAAAAAAAGAAAATAAAAAGCTCAATATATCTAGCCAGACTATATGTCTTCTTCTACTCTCTCATACACCTTTCCACTGGGTCACTGTAAAATCAACATCATTATATTAGTATATTAAGTCCACTCTTTATTTTGCTTTATTGGTCTGTCGTAGATTCATTAGCATGGAGTATAATCCAATAACTGAGCAAGTCATTTTCATTATTGTAAAATACGATACGGAACAAAGAAGCAACAATAATGAGATATCGTCAATGTACGTACACCTATTATCATTTTTTTTCTTAGCACTCAGACAATAACAGCGTTACGTACCACATTGTGAATCTTGAGTCATCAAACTAAACTAGGTTTCTAAACTGGTCATCTACTCAATTAACATGAGTTTCGACCCCATTGTAACGGGCGTTGTTACCATCTTTCAGTCAAACTTAGTTTGAAAGCTATAATGCCTGAGCATACCACCGAATGACTTAAAAAGAGAGAGAGAGAGAGAAAAAGTCTGTTACTGTTCGCTTTACAAATGATAATATTCTTTAATGCTAATCTCAGATGATTGTCGGATGTACATGGATTCTTTTGTACAATCTTCACATGTTATGCTTTTGGGCTACGGCCTCTCACAGACTTTTAGGGAGGTTTCTTTTTTATTTGGTTTTGTAATAATAATAGTAATAATGATAAAAAATAAGCAATATAAATATAATAGCGTCTCCAGCAGTCGCTTTTACCTCGACTTTTATCCTGTATTTAGACTTTTAGCTAAAAGTCATGTTCCCAGAATTCATTTTATTTTATCTAATTAGAAAAAAACAGGATGGAGTTAGAGATCATGTCATGCAACTTATAACTTTCGCCACGTATTCCCTAACTTACTTGTTTCTCAATAAAATAAAATATAAGGCCTATACTACTTGGTAATTGTGTACGGCACACAATTAACAGTAAGGAAAAGTCATATAGAACTTAACATAGGCCAATGGGGTCACCCTCTGAGAGGAAGGGGGGAGCAAAGCTCCTAGTCTAATTAGAAAAAACAGGATGAAGTTAGAGATCATGTCATACAACTTATAAATTTTGTCACGTATTATCTAACTTACTTGTTTCTCAATAAAATAAAATATGAAGCCTATACTACTTGGTAATTGTGTGCCGTACACAATTGACAGTAGAGAAAAGTTATATAAAACTTCATAGGCCAATGACCCCTTCCCCCGAGGGGAGGGGGGAGCAAAGCTCCTAATATATATAATAACACATTTTGGTTAAAATATATAAGAGTTGATTTTTTTTTACTATGATTATAACTAATTCTAACTCTAGCTATAACTCTTATTCTAACACTAGCTATGACTCTTATTCTAACACTAGCTATGGCTCTAATTCTAACACTAGCTATGACTCTAATTCTAACACTAGCTATGACTCTTATTCTAACACTAGCTATGGCTCTAATTCTAACACTAGCTATGACTCTTATTCTAACACTAGCTATGACTCTAATTCTAACACTAGCTATGACTCTTATTCTAACACTAGCTATGACTCTTATTCTAACACTAGCTATGACTCTTATTCTAACACTAGCTATGACTCTTATTCTAACACTAGCTATGACTCTTATTCTAACACTAGCTATGACTCTTATTCTAACACTAGCTATGACTCTAATTCTAACACTAGCTATGACTCTTATTCTAACACTAGCTATGACTCTAATTCTAACACTAGCTATGACTCTGATCCGGATTTTGCTAGTAAAGTTAGTTGTTAGTAATGTTAGTTGTTCATAATGTTAGTTGTTCAAAAAGTTAATTGTTTGTAGTTAGTTGTGAGTAAGGTTAGTTCCCGTTGCTTGTTAGTTCCCGTTGCTTGTTAGTGTCTGTTGCTTATTAGTATGTTAGTCTGTTAGTCTGCTGCTTCTTGTTGCTTCCTGTTGTTACAAAAAGTTTTTTTGTTAGTTGCTTCTTCCGGGGTACCCGGAGATTACTCTTCTTGTTACCATCAGAAGAGTAATCCCCGGACTGCAGATGCTGTGATTACACCGGCAACTGTCAGCCATTTTCTTGTCCCATTTCCAACCTCTTCAGGTTCTGTGGGTGGCTGTGGCTGTGGCTGTGGTTGTGGTTGTGGGTGTGGTTGTGGTTGTGGTTGTGGTTGTGGTTGTGGTTGTGGTTGTGGTTGTGGTTGTGGTTGTGGGTGTGGGTGTGGGTGTGGGTGTGTGTGTGGGTGTGGGTGTGGGTGTGGCTGTGGGTGTGGGTGTGGCTGTGTTATATCAGCTTCGTACTCGTCATCGGCGTCGTAGTCGCCATCTTCTTCTGCTTCGTCGAGAAGTTCTTCTTCTGCATCAAAGAACTCCTCGCTTTCTTCTTCTTCTTCTTCTTCTTCTTTTACCACTACTTCTTCTTCTTCTTTGACTACTTCTTCTTCTTCTTCTTCTTCTTCTTCTTCTTCTTCTTTTACCACTACTTCTTCTTCTTCTTCTTCTTCTTCTTTGACTACTACTACTTCTTCTTCTTCTTCTTCTTCTTCTTTTACTACTACTTTATCTTCTTCTTCATCATCATCTTCTTCTTCTTCATCATCCTCATCATCCTCATCTTCTTCTTCTTCTTCTTCTTCATCTTCTTCTTCTTCATCTTCTTCTTCTTCATCATCTTCTTCATCATCTTCTTCATCATCTTCTTCTTCATCATCATCATCATCTTCATCATCTTCTTCTTCTTCTTCATCTCCTGCTTCTTCTTCTCTTCTTCTTTCTTCGTATCTTCTGTCTATCTCTCTTCTTCTTTCTTCTTCTCTTCTTCTTTCTTCGTCTCTTCTTTCTGCCTCTCTTCTTCTTCTTATTTCTTCTCTTCTTTCTATTGCTTCTTCATTGCTTCTTCTTTCTTCTCTTCTTCTTCTTTCTGCTTCTCTTGCGTCAATATCTCTTCTTCTTATTTCTGCTTCTTCTATTCTCCTTTTCTTTTGCTTGATAAAATGAGCTGTAGCTTTGTGCTCCAGCTCATTTTCTTTCTCCAATCTTCGCTTAAGCCCCTTGGGCAGGTCTGGTGCTATAGGTATATTATTGATTAATATTATATTGTTTATCTACTATTATATAGAGACATGACTTACCAATCATTTTCACTTTTTTGATCTTTCGATCAAAAACTTTGACTAGATTAGTTTTGGCTAATCTAACTAGAATTGTATGTCTCAACAGCTTTGGGACATGCTTGTGAATGGCCTTTGGGCCAAACACAAACAAGCCGTTGAAGGACAATTTTTTGCTGCTTATGCTGCTGATGCTGCTGCTGGTGTTGCTGTACATTGGAGTAAACTAATGAAAAAGCGCAAAGAAGAAAAATAATACCGTGAGAGTGTTTCTTTTTTTTTAAACGCGTTATAATCTTTGGGCCACACATTTTGAGACGCGTTCTTTTTAGGCGCAAGTTATAGCCTTTGGGCCACACATTTTGTAACGCCATCCTTTTTTTTTAATTTTGACATGAGCCAATCATTTGCAATTTTGAATACACGTGTCTGCAACAGAGTACTTGAGTGGGGGAAAGTGACTAATAAAACTTTGCTATTAGGAAGAGCTTTTGAGCTGTGTAGTGTCTAGAGTCGGATTACTGACCTCTCCTACTGCCAACTATTTACTTTTTATTTTTCTCCCTCCTTCTACACATTTCAATCTCCTAATGTCGCTGCTTTTCTCTTCCAAATGGCGATGGTCACCAAATACACCCGCCGTCTCAAGTTCCCAAAATCAAGATATAAAACAAAGAATCATGATTGCTTGAGTACTGTGGTATACATACCGCAATTGAGTGTAGAACAGCTATAGATCGCCAGCAACATATCTCTTTAATAAAACATAATCTTTAACTTGAGTGTAGAACAGACTCCACAAACAAACACTGATTCCTTCTTGCTAATGAACCTGGCAAGTTAACAATCTCCGGAACTGTTACACACCAGGCACACGTACACTGCACACTCATACAGTGTAAACCAACCATTAAACAACAGAGATTCGAATTAAAGGGATTTTAATATTAACAGATATAAACAATATTATTTTGTCTCTTTAATAAATAACACTCTCACAGTATCTACTTTTCCCATTATTGAAATACTAACCCATAAACAATCCCGAATATCTAAGGTGAGGTATACGAATAAATTTCAGAAAGGGAACAATAGGTACTGTGAGAGTGTTGTTTATTTAAGAAAGAAGATCATAGCTGTTTATATAGACATTTGGTTCCTAATTTAAGATCTCCGTTAGCTAATGGTTGGTTATCACTAAAGCAGTGTGAAGTGTACGAGTGCCTGGTGTGTGTTACGTTCCTGAGATGTGACCCTGCCAGGTTCATTAGCAATTGTAGTATTCGTTCTGGATTGTGGAGTTTGTATTTCACTCAGTTGTGGTGTGTATACCACATAAGGTATGTATATCACAAACTGCATAATGTATTTTAAATAGCCGTCCTGTAAATACCGGCGACTCAATCAAGAAATAATACCGGCAAAAAAAGAAGAAGGAAAGTATCAATGGTGCTTTTGAGAAAGGATATATTATTATTATTATTATTATTATTATTATTATTATCATTATTATTATTAGACAGTTAGTGAGTCTTAGCTATATACTTTATATATATCAAAATTTAAAACCCTTAATTGGTTTGCTTGAATGGAATGAGTTTGCACAAACTGTTTCTGTGTATGTACCTTGAACCTGAATAAAATTACTCAAGGGGGTACTCAAGCAATCATGATTCTTTGTTTTATATCTTGATTTTGGGAACTTGAGACGGCGGGTGTATTTGGTGACCATCGCCATTTGGAAGAGAAAAGCAGCGACATTAGGAGATTGAAATGTGTAGAAGGAGGGAGAAAAATAAAAAGTAAATAGTTGGCAGTAAGAGAGGTCAGTAATCCGACTCTAGACACTACACAGCTCAAAAGCTCTTCCTAATAGCAAAGTCTTACTAGTCACTTTCCCTCATTCAAGTACTCTGTTGCAGACACATGTATTCAAGATTGCAAATGATTGGCTCATGTTAATAATCTATTATTTAAAAAAAGATGAGGTTACAGAGTGTGTGGACCAAAGGTAATGACGCATTAAAAAAATAAACACGGTATTATTATTTCCTTATACCTCTTTTTTTATTTAGCCTGCAAGACCAGCAGCAACACCAAAAGCAACACCAACAGAACACTCGTGTTTGGCCAAAAGGCCATTTACAGGCCATTCCCTAAGCCGTTGAGCGACAGAATGTTAATTAAATTGGCCAAAAGACCAAGCACAAGTCAGTGACTAAGCTGTTGAGGGACAGAATGTTGATTAAATTGGCCAAGACCATTTACAAGCCGGTCCCTAAGCCACTTAGAGACAAGATGTTGGCTAAGCTAACAAGACTGAACGCAGAAGAACTAATTGGCACGATTATTGATCGAAAGATCAATAGTGCCATGAGGATCGGTAAGTCATGTCTCTATATAATAAGAGAAAAACAATCTAATATTAATCAATAATATCTCTATGTTACCAGATCTCCCTAGGGGAGTAAAACGCCAGCTAGAGGAGAAACGTTTCGTTCCTCAAGGGCTAGAAGAAGAAGATCTGGTATGAGAGTAAGCTGGAGCGTAAAGCAACAGCTTACTTACTCCGAAGAGAAGTTGGAGAGTTGAGAGAAGTCGAAGTCGGAGAAGTTGGGGAAGAAGAAGTTGTGGAAAAAGATGACGAAGAAGCAGAGAAAGATGATGTTGGCTACGAAGCAGACGATGAATATTAATATGAAGAAACGCAGCTGCAGGCAAATTAACAGCCTGTAGCTTCTGAGCAAACTACCAGAAAATGGCTGTCACTTGGCAGTATGATTACAGCATCAGTAGTTCGCGAATTACTCTTCTGATTGCAATGGGAACTTGTCCGCAACCAATATGCTACAAACACATGGACCGCCTAACCCACCGCTCACCAGCACCCATCCGACCGAACCACCACGGAGTAACACGCCATTGCATACCTCATATTCATCTGCTTCAACAATGGATCCCATTAACTCTTTCGCACAATGGCAAATCGGGCAACAAAATGCCAACAAGCTTTGGATTTCATCTAATTAAGTCTGTTGTTGTATTTGACAACACTCATAGTGGCTTAAAGCATCTCTAGAAGTTTCTACACACATATTCTATATACAATTTTTACTGCCTCAATTTGTATCACTTTTCCACCATTTATTTAAGCCTTCATTCTCTTATAAGATCACAAAAATGGAACTTGAACTACCTCTTGCATTGGTAGAAGATGACTAATACGAATTTTAAAATGACGATTATGAGCTGGAGCTGGATCCGGGACAAAATACCAACATACTTAATAACCGCTTTGTTGGTATTGTGCCAGTGGTTAGTCAAGGCACGAACGTTACGGTTTCCAACGTGCTCAGAAAGGAATCCGTGATAATGTTCAGTTATTTTTTACCAAAATGTATTACTCTTCTACTCAACTTTAAGAACTGAACCGGTGGAAATAAAGATATATGAGTGGAAAAGCTGAATATCCTCTCCTGCAATTAAGTTCTTTCTTCCAGAATGAGAGTCTTTTACATATGTGTTAGTATTACTTTTAAGAGAGGTTATCTTAATAGAGTTTTTTTTATTGGTAGCATCTTTGACCACATGAAAGTTTATGAGGTCGATACCATCAGAATTGCAACCTTGGGGGTCATTGATGTTGTTGGTGTTCTTGGGTATTGTTATCAATTTTTGTAAGGAATAGGTGCTCGCCACCACCCGGAAATTTTTAAACATCTAAAAAATATTATGGGAATAATTTTACAGATGGGGTACAAACCCAGAGCGGCGATTTTTACGTTACTCTAAACTGGTCTGTGCATTTCTTGTTCAAAGTTAAATACTTTGTACAAGCAGACACAAAAACAAACTAGACTGCCACTAAGAAGCAAATGGACGTATAACTCTAATATATAATAAAAGGAAATAAGCCAGCACAACAGATGCTGAGACGTATGATCACAAGTGATTCTTTATTAGAAAAATATGCGCCGGTGGCCGATGGTAAGATGAATCCTCGTGTGAGTAAGAGATGTTCGCCATCAAATATGTAGGTCAATCAAATCAAATAAAGTATAATATGAGACTATATATTTGCACTATATAATTTTCTTTTCGGTAAATGAGAGGTACTGACTCAGATGCTTTACACAAAATATTTTAGCTACTTGATTATTGTACCTACATTAAACATGAAGGTTTAACAGCCAATGTCTTGAGGTTGCTTGGGCTTATTTTAAAATCAAGAGAGAAATGTAGTAGTAACTTTAGTAATATATATTTCTCTTATGTAAATCGAGGTATACGATGCCATTTCATAGACTTACAAGTAATATTTCCATATAACCTTTTTGTATTAACTGGTAGATATGAATTTTAATCATACATGGAGAGAAAAAAATGTATCTGTAATCCTCGTTGACGACCAAGCAGATATGTGTTTTTGCTGTATATATATATATATATATATATATATATATATACTTGTTGAGAACAAAAAAAGAAAGGTTGCATATTACATAGAAACACATACCAACGGTGATCATACTTTCTATATTCTATAAATCAAAAGTAAAAACTTCTTTAACTTGTCTTACTTTATTTAATCTCACTTCGCAATAAGTTTCTGAAAGAATAGTAGTATAAATATTAAGATTGAACAGTTATCGTCTTTGATAGTCTTCAATAAGTTTTTCATCTATCATTCTCATGGCACCTAAAAAAACCCCCTCCTAACTATGATAAAACTTCACCAAGAGTACGTCCTTGATTTAATTATAGTCTTCTTTACGAAATTTTACAGGATAATACCATACTCAAATGCTTTTATTTTTGAGCATATATATATATATTGGCTCATCACTTTGTCAATATAACATGATTTGATATTCCATTAGTCTTTCTGAAGCGATAAGTAAAATGTCAATTATTATTAAAAATCTGAGATAGGAACACATGACTTAGAGTCTACTATTCATTCAATAAATCACTCGAGCCACTCTTATATACCAATTGTGATATACAGTACTTGAGACCTTTTCTTAGAGAACGGTTGCATAAATCTTGCGGGAGAGCGGAGTAGCACCGTTCCAAGAAGTATGATAGTATAATTCTAAGAAAATTATTTCTTCTATTCTTTTCTCACACTTTTAAACATTTTCTCTATTAACCCATTTGAGGATATTGGCAGAAACAATCTTTGCTGCTGGTAGTCTTACATATATATATATTAAAGATATTAAAGATATTATTTCGATTAGATTAGATTAGGTTAGATTATCTAGGTCTCCTTTTATTTTTCAGATTCATAAAGTAAAAGGAAGAAATTGTTTATAACATTTACTTCTATAATACCCTCGGTAAATGTATTGATGTAGTAGCAATAGTCTTCAACATTTTCAACATAGCGTTTCTCAAGCACACGGTCCTTATGATGCGTGCTTGTCTTGATATTCCAGATCAATTCACTTCTTTGCCACTCAAAGCTAAATGGAGGTATACCCACAAGGTCTACCACAGCCTGAACCATATCACCTACAATAATGTACACGCGCACAAACACAAATGTTTTAGCAGCTTATCAATACTATATTCTGTTTTTTTTTCTTGCCTTCATTAATGCTTTCAATAATTGCCTTTCCACCACTGATGAGAGAGCGAGGAATATCATGGATGAATCTGGTAATATCATTGGGGAATGAACGACATTGATTGCGCTGATCACCAATAGAGACTATAGTAAAGTTTCCAGGGCTATTAGCAAGTAGGGAAAAATATGAAGTAATACTCTTGACATGCTCAATATTACTGTTGAATTTGTAAGCTTTTAATACACACATACAATGTATATAGAAGCACAGACCCACAAGCAAATCAAAAATAATAACGGGAGTAATCTGACTATACATTTCCTTCTTTTCTTACCAATCGTGAATGGAGTGCGCCCTGTCAAACTGAATTGAACATTTGAACACGTTGCTTAAGTGGTGCAAATAACGATATGGCCATTTTGAAATATATAGATATATTGTTATCTCAATGAATGATTTATCTTTCATCGATTAAAAAGAAAATTAAGTACTTGCCGACTTGTATTAAATCTTTCGATGCTTAATGATATTCGAGAATGAAATAATTGGATAACTTTAATCAATATTTGAATAACTAAAGTCAAACAACATTGAAAGATGTGGATTTTAATGTACTTCACCATGATATTTACAGATATATAAGAGGTTTTATGAAACCGACTTTGATATATGTCCTATATATCTATTCTTTATCTATATAAACACATAGCTTGTAATTTTGATCGGGATTAATCATTATTTTAATGAGCAAAACATTGATAGCATTGATAAATTCAATAACATTCAAAATACATATTTGACTATGTAAAAAAATTAGATTACTTATATCTACAATAGTTATAGTAAAATGAAGAACTGAGTCTACAGCTTGTATGGCGTATAAATCTAATGGTGATGTTACTTTAGCCTTTTATATCACCATCATCATCATCATCATCATCATCATCTTTATGAAAAATTGAAACTACATGTATCATTCTACCTTTTCCACATACACGCACACACGTATATATATATATAAGTGTAGATTATTTGATTTGCCCAAACAATTTCCTTTGTGGCAACATTATTATCATTGTAGTTTCTATGTAATATGTACAAAAGAGAGATAGAGAAATATAAGAAGAAGAAGAAAAAAAGATAAAGAACAAAATCTATGCTAAGCATAATTATAAGCCCACGTCTAAGCCATGGTTACTAGAAATTAAAAATAAAAAGGTCTGTACACATGGGGGCTTGTGGTGTATTTATAATGTATGTAAAAAAACAACCCCAAACCCAAGCCCAAACCCAAACCCAAATTCAATTCTTCATAGGGGTCTATGTTCATTTTCCGGTACAGATTGAATATCAAATGATACCCTCTTTGCAGGCGTTTGATGTGAATTGTGTTGCTGATTAGAATAATGTGGTTGGTTTTGCTGGTTTTGTTGATTCTGTTGTCGCTCAAGTAAATTGAAGATTTTCTGAATTGCTTCTTGATTTTGTTGGGTTATAGTGAGGAGTGTCTGTAATTGGTCCATTACTGCCTCATTTCCGGTGTTTAACAGCCCAAATCCAGAGGTGTGAGTTGGTGCAAACTGCGCAAAGCTTTCTTCAAGCAAAGATGACCGACGTCTAGTTTCTGAACTTTGTCTATGGCCCTGTTGTTGTTGCTGTTGTTGTTGAGGCTGGTGCTGCCCTTGTTGCTGCTCACCCTCATCATTTGGAGTATCGGGTCCTGATGCTGCTAGATCTGGAGATGAATTGGCAAGCTCTGCTAGATACTGGTGGCGTCGCATTGTCTCCCATACGATTGTAAAGTTTCTTCCCACAATAATTGAAGGTAGAGTGATAAGCTGTAGCAAACGAGTATAAGACGACAAGGAAAAATTAGGAGCCATAATTCTCTTCAAATATCCATGGCTTCATTTCATTTTATTAAAGAAAGAAAAAACAGAAAGAAACTTACCAGCACACCAAACATCATGGCAGGAAAAGTGATTAGTTTTCCAATAAACGTGGCTGGAACCATATCACCTAATCACCACAATATATATATTATTGTTATTTTTCTTAGAATAATAATAGTGATAATTAAAGGAAAGAGAAAGTATCTTTTGAGTTGCTTACCGTATCCTGTGGTTGTGATTGTAACAACTACAAACCAGAATGCAGCAGGAATACTGTCAAAGGCACTACAAAGCAAGTTAATATCCCATTTGACACATTGTTATCCATTCCTTGAAAAAATACCTTGGATTTCCATCAGGAGTGACAAAGGTTTCTAGAGCTTCGTCCCAGACCCCACGTTCTGCAAAGTACAAAAGGGTGGAAAATAAAACAACCGATGTGACCAGAAAAAAGAACAGGGCCGACAAAGCGTCACCGGATCTGCGGAGGGCTACCATCATGACCTCAAGTGTCATAACTAATGAGCTGGAATACTTGTAGGTTTTGAAGAGTCGCAAAAGTCTGAAGAGGCGCAGGATCGTGAAGCGGAACTCATAGGTCTTGTGTGTGTGTGTGTGTGTGTTTTTTTTGCACAAGAGATTGATATTACCACCTGAAAATAGTATATATACACCTACACACATACACACGCATAGACATATATATATGTTTGTGTGTGTGTGTGTGTGTGTATTGTTTGACTGACTATTTAGCACATGTCATTACCGTATCGCGTTTGGCCAAGAGTTCAATGTAAAATGGTACAATCGAAATAAAATCAATAATCGAAATAGGTGCTAAGATGATAGATAATATTTTTTAAGCGTGAGGTTCTTTCGCCATTCGACAAGCAGTTTTTTTTTTTGCTTACACAAGAAGAAACGCCTGAGCATTCCAAGTGAGTCCGAGTGAGCAAAGATGCGCAAAATATATTCCAATGAAAACAGCGCAACCATAGCAGATTCTACGTTAAACCTGTTTGAACCCAAATGAAAAGAAGAAGCAAAAATGACAAGCAAACAAAAACAGACAAACATAAGATTGCCGCCCTATGTAGTTCGTTCGTTTTGTTTTTGTTTTGTTTTTTTTTCACTGCCTATTTATCTATTTATCTATATATATATATATCTCTATCTATCCGTTCATTCATTCATTTTTCTTGCTTCTATTCTCCCTCTATATCTCTTTCTCCGTCTCTGATATATACACATATATTTGCACACATTATACCCTAAAAGTGAGCATCTCCCCAGTTTATCAGCCCTTTCCACTCCTTGTTTTCTTTCTTTCTTTCTTTTTTTAAAAAAGGTACTTTCCACACACGATTGCTTTCAGCAGAACGAAAGGCAGGGATAGTCTCGATTGTAGTAGTAACAGCACTAAAGACAATCAATACAGACACAACCACATTGGTCCAAAAGGCTGCATTACTGCTTGATGGGTCCTCGAGTAAAAGATAAAGGGATCGCTTCATGGGATTGTTGATCTCATTTTCAGGTTGAACAGGCGATTCATCTCGGGGATCGTTAGTCCCTGTAGAGGATCGCCGTGAATGAGCCGTAGATCGCAATGGGACGTTTGGTCTGTCGGACTCTTGACCAAGTCGTTCGTATTGGCCATCCTGAGCCCGAGACTTTTGGCGTTGATGAGACCGGTGATGGAATGAACGCGAAGATGAACCAAGGTCGGCCATGTCAGGACGAACGTCAACATCAGAGCTAGTCGACAGTCTTTTGGACGTCTCCTGAAGCTCCATGTCTTCAAGCAGACCATGAGACTTTTCTTCGTCGCCAAGTGAGGCCTTTTTGGGGGAGGAACGTCCTATTCGCATTCGAATCAAAGTGAAGTAAAGATAGAAAGGGATAAAATGATAGACTTGTACTAGAAAAGCTATAGAAATTACAAGAAGACAGCCTCCCCAAATAAAAAGGAAAAGAAATGGAATGCGTTTAGACCAAGCAAATCTCCCTTTACGGACTGCGTTTTCTTTCCCCTAATGGACCAACAAAAAGAAGAAGAAAAAGAACGCTAATTGGTCGCCGCCCAAGGGGAAAGAAGAAAAAGAAAAAAAAAAGTGGGCGATCGAAAAGGAGACTGTAGTACAACCGGAACTGAGGCAATTCTCGTTTCCAGTGCTAATAATAAATAAATAAATAAATTGTGGACCTGTTTAAACGGAGCGAAGAAAAAGAAATAGGCATTAAAACTAATAACAAGTGCTCTTCAGGCAAATCCATATAATATACACAAGGAGTCTTAATACCAGATACCTTTGCTTTATACAGAACATTGTGTCTATATAAAAGCTAGGATTCTATTTGTGCTGTATAAATCCAGTCTACCTAAAAGTAGTCAAAAGCTTATAGTTGACTTGAATTGTCTTTGAAAATTAATAGTATCATTTAATAAATAAAAGCCAATACCACTATCACTATCACTTCCTCTACCAAATAGTAAAGTGAAGTATGCATATTGCCTCATCTAGCCTTTGTACTTTATTCAGTCACCATTAGTATAAGAAATACAAGACATCAAATATATTTAATAAGTTTGTATTAGACACAAGAAAAATAGACTCATCTCCCAAGAACAAATAAATAATACATCTTCTAAATATGGTAATTTTTGGTTTTCAGACAAAAAAAAGGTGTAACCCTGGGCGGCGGAGCGACTTTTATAGTAGGAGCTGATGTGTAATGAATGGTCCACAGAAAGAGAGAGAAAGAATAAGGAAGATCACACAAACGAAATTGGAAATGCATTGATATTTGGATAGGCAAATGATATTTGTTAATTGACTGTATAGGTTACATTCATAAGAAAAAAAATGCTTCTCCAATATTGCAACATGACGATCAAAAATCAGTCAAATCAGCATATACATTTATGCATATTTCTTTTTGTATTCTTTGCAAATATTACTATGTTGCTTAGAAAAAATACTTGCTGCTGTGTCAAATGTATCCAAAATATCATATATGTATTTTTTAAAGTTTTACCAACTTTTGTGGTTTTCTTCCCTTCCCAGTCTGGGTTGTACCAGACTCCTAAGACAGGGTCAAACTGCCTGTTTGTCCAATCTGGGCAATACTACAAAAGAAACCAGCTTACTTGCATTCTGCTTTTTATTATTTAAAGAAAAAGAGGCCAATATATTCATTAAACTACTCGGAGAATTCTATTAAAGTAAAAGAGGCAGGCTAAAGGAACATTTACAAAATAAAGCGTGGTCGAAAGTTATCAAAAGAAAAAGTCAAAAGTAGTAACTTTTACCAAGTATCTTATCTTATTTTATTTAGTACTTATATATTAACAGTTAATTGAACAGTTAGATATTCTTCCTTTATTTATTTTTCAACTTGAATCTGTTTTTGAGTCTAGGACCTGATCTGATACTGACTGTTCTGATGTGTGCAAACTGTTTGAAATAGTTCTGAGTAGACCAACAACATCACTCTTATCTTGAGATGAAGAAGTTGGTGTAATTATTGTCGCAGAAGGAATTCTTGTCATTTCCGCAAAAGTGATGCCAAGCTCGTCAGGCACAGAAGTATCAGTGATATCAGTAGCAGTAGTAGTAGTGACCTTGGGAAGGTCTATGGCAGATCTTTCTTGGTTGGCTATCACTTCATGGGGTGGTTTGATCCTGGTTTCACGCTGGTGAAGAAGATCAAGTTCTGGCCATCTTTTTGTAAATTCGGGGTGTCCGAATCTATCTTCAGGTGAAAGGTGGTTTTCGATAGATAAAAGAGCCTGGAATATATTTGATGTTTGTTTCTGTGCATGTTCTGCCTGTGCCTTCAAGTTCTTGGCTACGATAATTTATTCATTTCTTTCGTTATTGATGTAGTCCCAATTTATAGCCTTTTTATTTGTTTCTGTATATTATTATTTTTGCTTACCGTCATTTAGTCTTTCCGAAGCCAATTTTGCTTGTCCATATGCTGCCACAAGAATTTGGGTGTTCTTGGCACTAAGATCATCAACATATTTGATCCTTTGAAGTAAACTTCGCTAATCTCAAGTACGTAGATATATTAGCATATTATACGTATCCCTTGCAGTATAGCATAGATTCATCCTTACACGCACACATATATATTATTATTTACCTGATCATTGCTAATCTTCATCATCCATTTATCAATATGTTTTTGTAGCCTAATCAATATATCAGCTATAGATTCATGATCTAAAGGATCTATAATGGCTAAAACGCAAAGAAAAATAAAAATAAAAACCAAAATACCAAAATAACATAAAAAAAATACACATATTACACTAGTAAAACTACCCATAGCAGAGCAAATATACTAATATTAATACTAGAACTATCAGTACTAAAAAAATGTCTTACATTGTGTTTCCTTTGGTTCAGTCGCAATACCTAGCAACCCCTCTAGCGAAAACGAACGGTCGGGTTCTTTTATAAATGGTTCAAACTATGTGTGTATTTTTTTTGTATGTTTGCGCTTTATTTAATATACCGAATAAAAGCGTTCTACACAAAACTACACACACACACTCACCCACCCATATATATATATTCTTTAGCTGTATTTACTATACCTGTTGGATCTTCCTGAGTTGTTTAATAAGCTCGTCTTCTTTGTTAAAATCCCGGGAATCCTTTACTACTTCAACCACACCCTAGTGTCCATAGCATTATAATCAATAATCTCTTTCATATACATATCAATAAGTCCACTCTTTAGGAATAGAGTATCAAGAACTGTAATAATATTGATAAAAACATACATCGTCAAAATCATCTACGTGCGTATGTATTATAGAAGGTGTTGCTTTTCCAGAACTGTCACGATAACCTTTATAATCAACAGTATATATATATATACATCTTTATCTTTAGCAATTATGTTTTTATCGTATCTATCCAAAAATAAAAACAGCAAGCTCACTTACTTGACTCAGCATCAGAGCCAGAGTCAAAGGCTTCTACTGTATATTCAGTATCGGATTCTAAAATCTGAGGTCTGGCATCAGTACTGTGTCGTCGAATAGGCTCTGGTCTGATAGCTAAATCTGCAGGATATAGCTCAGAAAGAGGTCTTTGTTGGCGCAATGGATTCTTTCTTGTTCTATCATTACGGGATGCCTTTATTTCATTTGATTGTTCCTGCCCCTACACAAATAGAGTAATATATGTTAAAATAAAGTATACTTTGATACACATTCATCTATAGGTCATTTAGAATGTATGATGAGATGCTCTTGCTCGAGATTTCCTTTTCTTTCAATAATATTTGGTTTAAATTAATTTTCTTTTTACCATTAGAATGCTATTTAATAAAAATTATAATTAAGATGGTTCAATGAGTTCATCAACTATAGACTACGACGATGCATAACTCCCCCTTCTTAAAAAAAAAGAAGAAGCGAAACCTCTTAACCTCTCTTAGTGATGCATGTGACTGTTCTGCCTCAAAGATGAACCTGAACAAAAGGTTTAGATCAACTTGGATTTTTGTGTGTGATTCATCACTACATTGATCGAATAACCACTTATGAAGGCAAGTAGATCACGTCAATTCAATAGATAACTCTCAGCATATGACCTCTTGTGGGGACCGAAATGATGATTATTGGCTTGTCTTTCAAGTGCATCCAAGAGATCTAATTTACATGTAATTCTAGATTGCTATTGAAGGATGCTGCCATGGTGAGCTTGATAACATTTATGGAACCATCAAACTACTAGAACAACGAGAAAACTGCAAGATAGATCTAGTTTTGATCTGTGGTGACTTTCAAGTAAATAAGAACATACAAACAACAAGGATAATAATAATAAAAAACAAGGCGACCATAAATGATCTATAAAGTCTAGTTGACATATAATTAATATAAATCATTCAATACTTTCCGATAGGCCATTCGCAATACAAGTGATATGGAGTGTATGTCAGTTCCTCCAAAATTTAGAGAACTGGGTACATTTTGGAAGTATTATTCAGGTCTAGCAAAAGCACCATACCCCACTATATTTATTGGCGGAAACCATGAGGCCAGCAATCACTTGTGGGAACTGTGAGTAAAAGTCGAATTTACAAATAAACAAATAAACAAACAAACAAGCAAAAAATGGATGAAAAGGAAAAGCCAGAAGCACGATCTCTGACAGGTCTTCATTAAAACTAGTTATCATGGAGGATGGGTGTGTGAGAACATCTATTATCTTGGACATGCAGGTGTCATAAACTACAAAGGTGTTCGCATTGGAGGAATCTCGGGTATTTTCAAATCAAATGACTATAGAAAAGGTATATTAAGGCATAAATAATAATAATAATATATTGAATCATGAAATACTGTTTATATCTAACAACATTTCTTTTGTTTTAATTTACATCTAGGTCATTATGAGACTTCTCCATATACCCCTCAAACCATCAAGAGTGTTTATCATGTTAGAGATTACGATGTACAGAAAGTATTACAGGTAAGAATAACTCCTTAACATCAAGCTGAATTAAACTAAGCAAACAAACAAACAAACAAAAGATGTAAAATAATGAAATGTGCACAAATCTTTAACGTATACTGATATATATGCGTATGCCTGGTAATAGATCCAGAAACCAGTTGACATCTTCCTTTCCCACGACTGGCCTAGAGGCATTGAGCGTTTTGGAGATGTTGGAGAGCTTTTGAGAGTCAAGACGTTCTTTAGAGAAGAAGCACGCACAAATACACTCGGAAGTCCCGCGAACGAACAGATCCTTACAAAGATCCAACCTGCTTGGTGGTTTGCTGCTCATCTGCATGTTAAATTTGCAGCATTAGTCGATCACGAGAAGTGGAAAAATGAGGATTACTCTGACGAAGTCAAACGTGTACTTAATTTAAGGAACGGACCTTATTATCAAGCAAGCATAAACCAGAATCAAAGTGTAAAAGTTGAAAATCCAGATGAAATTTCTATTAGTATGAGTGACGATGATGATGACGAGGATTGTTGTACTCATGGCCAAAGATCAACTGAAAAGAAGGTTGGCACTAGAGTGGATAATCCGGATGAAATATCAATTAGCGTAAGTGATGATGAGGATGATGAGGATAAGGATGATACCCCAGAAAAGGAATCCCCAGTACCTGGTAAGATATCTTTCTATATCTCAATAAATATTACTATTTCAAAGCGAAGTACCTTGATTTACTACTGCATTAGCCCCGTATTTCTTCAAACTCTCCCAAGTAAGCTAATGTACCCCCATATTATTATTTTACAGTACAGGTCCAAAGCGAATCACCAAAGATCACGAAATTCCTTAGTCTTGATAAATGTCTGCCACGTAGACAGTTTTTGCAAGTAAGATATATACAATGCTATTATTATTATCATCATGTAATCTAAAGTCGCGGCTTCTTACATAATCAAAGGTCATAGATGTACCCTCTGATGATTCTGCTCATGGGTTCTCTTATGATCTAGAATGGCTAGCGATCACAAAAAGCATGCATCCTTATCTCAGCGTTGAACGTCAAGAATATAGACTTCCTAGTAACGAAGACATTCAAATGTAAAAGAAAAACTAATCTGTGTAGTAAATTAAAACATGCTGATCGATTAATCAATCGATCAATGAATAAATGAATGAATTGATTAATATATTAATATATATTCTTTTGCTTTAGGACTATTAAAAAGGAGCTGACACAACTCGAGGCTATGGTTGGTCGAGGAGAACTTGATCTCAAGATCCCAAACAACTTCCAGCCCACTGCTCCCACATTCAATCCTAGTGTTCAGTGGAACCATGAACAGATGGTTCAATTCCGTAAGGCACATTAATAAGCTATTTGTTATATGTGTTTTATTAGCAATAAGGTTTGACTTTGTGTACCAATTTTTTTCTTTTTGTGGCTGTTGTAGAATATCCATTCTCCAACCCCCAGACATCAGATTTCTGTAAAATGCTAAATATTCAAAACAAAATCAACCCACATGGTGTGACCGACTTTGGACACGAAAAGGTTGCCCCGGAACAACAAAACTCTTTTGTGGAGCCACAAGAGTCCTCTTTTTCCGAGTCAATAAGATATAGTTTGACTACCCTGAATGATGATATGAGCACACTCACATCGGAGGAGGTAGAGATTTCAGTTATAAATAAGGTGCCTGAAGAAACACCTATTCCTGACAATAATACGTTAAGTTTGGAAGATCCAATGGCGACTGGCGAAGACCAAAAGGCAAAACGACAAAAGATAGTACATGAAGAGAATGTACTTTTGGAGACAGTGGAGGAACAAATATTGTGATTGTTACTTGTTGACGTAAATATCTTTCTTTCTTTAAGAAAACTGAATAATAATATTTAGAATCTTTGGTAATAGTAATCCATTATTCTAATACAAAATTAGAATCTATAAAAACGAAGCCAAAATTCTAATGATAATGTGAATGAATGGATATAAATATATAAATATATATATATATATATGTGCGTACGAGGGGGAAATAGAAATAGAAATAGAGAGAGAGAGATTAATAGATCCTATATTTGAGGTTTCAGATCAAAACCAGTATTTAACTCTAGCTATTTAGATGCCTGCACCAGTGTAGCCAGGTACTTTCTCTTTCAAAAGGTTTTCAGTAAACTCCCACAATTCTTCGGCAGCGGCATCTGATCTAGCAATACCAATAATATAGCCAGGCTGTCCATAAGGCACCTTTTATAAAGAAACATAAAAATAATAAAAAGACAGATGTTGAGTAAGACATATTGTTGCTGTATCTCATGTTCTCTCTTCCCTGTGGTTATCCTTTATACTTACATAGTATTGTCCCTTGATTCCCTTCTCTTCTACCTCAGGACTAGTGGCCAAGTAAAGCTGAGACAAGGCACCGTTCTCAACAGAGATGTTGAATGAGTGGTAGATTCTCTCCCAGATGCTTTGCATAGAAATAACATGGCGCGAGATTCCGCTCTGAACGACACCAGGATGGTTGGAGTTGACATAACCATTCTTTATAAAAAGTCACACACACACACACATTATTATCATTAGATAGCATTACTATTGTTATCGTTAATAATCAAAGAGCTAATTGCTTACCTTGATTCCCGCCTTCTCCAATCGTCTAGCCAATTCACGAGTAAACATGATGTTTGAAGCCTAGCAAATAATTATAATTAGACTTTTTCTTCTATATATAAACTCTCCCTAGTGTTACCTTTGATTTTCCGTAATTTGTAAGTCTTCCATAAGTCTTCTCATTGTTGACATTTTGCAGATCCAATGAACCCAAGAAAAACTTGTGTGCAAGAGAACTGACGGTGACAATGCGGAATACATCAGACTTTTTCATGATAGGTAACAACATGATAGTTAAATAGAAATGTGCGACGTGGTTTGTTGCGAACTGGGTCTCGATACCTAATTTGTTCCACAACATAAATACAAGCAGCTATTTTTTTTCTTTTTTTTTCATTTCTTCTTTATATATATATATATACATGATCCAGTTTAATTTTCTTGTAACATACCATCTTCAGAGAGACCATAGGGGCACATCATGATACCAGCATTGTTAATCAAGATGTCGAGTTTATCATAGCGCTCTTTAAAAGTGTCGGCAAATGATTTGACAGATTTCAAGGACATCAAGTCGAGTTGAATGAATTCAACCTTTGAGTTTCCAGTTGCTTCCTTGATTTCTGCAATAGCCTCTTCGCTCTTTTCCTTGCTACGACATCCCATAATACTACAAAAGTAATAGTCATCATAATAATATATTGTTAGAGCACAAAGTTCATTTAGGAACCACCTTTCGCTTACATATGACATCCTTTACGGGCCATTTCGAGGGCACAGACCTTTCCAATCTAAAAGACAACAAGAATCATTCTGAATATTAGCTTGCAAGGCTTGGATTTGTGCGATGAGATCTATAATATCAATTAATCATCGCTTACACCGGCATTGGCACCAGTAATGATAGCAGTCTTTCCCACAAGACTTGGGATTGTTTCGAAATCGTAAGGCTTTGCCCAGAACATTTTTTTAAAGTAATAAAAGATAACAAGAAAGAAAGATAGTAAAGAAGAAGAAGAAGATGAATAAAGAACTAATACCGAATTTTATAAGATTTTGTTTTATACACGGAGCAAGGCGGTGTTATTGATACAAGCTCCGTTAAAGGAAAAACACAAAGACCAACCCTTGCAGGCATTTCCTGATCAATAAGATGAAATGAGATAGAATAGAATACAATACAATACAATACAATAAAAAAAAGAATCCTTCGCAATTGCCCTGTGTGCAGTATCAGTGTGGCAATTAACATCATTTTTCTTCTTCTTGTCATTTCATTCTTTAAACTTTAATTATCTAGGGAAAATCCTAAATAAGATGGTAATGTAACATTTCGTATATTTTGAATTCGCATGTCCAATGGTTGACTTAAGCATAGTTGCACCCGTTGAGTTTTGTGCGTCCAAGCCTTTCGAGAAGTGCACCAGTTTTTTGATAAGCGTAACGAGTCTTTCATCTGATTATCTACACCTTATAGATATTATTATTGTGACATTAAATTAGAATGTGAATATAAACTTGCATTAGTTAATGGCAAGCAAAGTATATAAATAATTATAAAACACACGCAGCCCTGTCTATATACACATATATTTCTTCAAGAGTAGTTTGTGCCATATGAACTGAGAAAATAAACACACACAAAAAAGGCAGAAGAAGTTCTTAGCCATCAATGATTCGAGTTGCGCAAGTCCTCGATTAAATAAAAAACAAAGTCGAGAATCACAACAAGAAAGAGAGTCTCTCAAGTGCTTTTAATATTTGTGTACACAAAAGAGGCTGAAAGATTTACAGATAAAAGGAATGTAGAGTAGAATTAGATACTTAGGGTATTCTACATTAAGATAATGCTTAAGCCTGACAAGTTTTATTCTTGGGTGATATTCCTTGGATGAGGAAGATAGCTGATTATAGGGATATCAAGCTAGATTACTTGGAATTCGGTCTTTTGGAAGAAGACCAAAAGCAAACGCGATTCTGGGCTCTTGAGACACAAAGACATATATTTCGCAATGTTTCTATGTATAAGCAAGGTAACCCACTTTTAGAAGGGAAGACAGGGGAGCATATAAAGGAGGAATTGCTTCATCAGACTTACCTTGGTATATTCTAACCAATACATATATATACATTTATATTGGATATAAAAGATTGAATATTGATTATTGACTATTTACTATTGACTACTGACTATACATAATACATAATATTATTTCTTTCTCATTTGCTTGCTGTATTTGACCTCTCATTTTTATTAATGTTTCACAGATCTGGTCCTTCAACGCTGAATTGAACTTTTTATTACATCTTCAAACGTACTTTGAAAACTGAAGAAGAAAAAACAAGAAAATTGTATTTGTATTTGATTTATTATTACTATTGCTCTAACCAGATAGAAAAAGAACAAGCTACAATATAAACTCTTTATCTTCTTTTTCTTCTTCTAATTTTTTTTCTTTGTTAAACGATATCAAAAGAATACTATCTGATACCAAAATGATGGGTCGGGCAGTTGAACTCCCCGGATCGAAAAATCCCGACGATCCGGTAATCGTTTAAACATTCAAGCGGATTGGCACATTACGATGCATGTGATGATTTTAACCACAGGTATTTCATGTAAAGCATCGCAGAAAGTAATATATGGAAAGGGATCAATTGATTCTCGATTATCCCAAACTTAATAATCTTCGAAAGACAGAAAGACATATACATAAGAAAGCTATGCACAAATGGCTCGGTTGCTTCCAGCAGGAGTATCCGAATAATCTTCAAGTACATGCTCCTTGGTTGGTTGGCACGCCATGAGTGCAAAGTGAATGTATTAAAGCATCCCCAGCAGTTACATTTCCGAAAACATTTAATAAAAATTTTGGTAAATTTACTGCCTGCTCCATGGATTTCCATGTATTTTTTTTTTAAAAAAAATTGCCTTTGCGTTTTAACTTTCTTTGATTTTTCTTTGAATCGAATAATAGGATATAACAATTGTTAAGAAAATTTTCAGAAATTATATTTGTTACAAAGCTGACAGTCTAAGGAATATTTGACTCGCATTTCTAATATTATAAAGAGAAGACAAATGTCTAATAAAATGATTTTAGAAAAAAAAAATTACTTGTAAAGATTATATTAGATAGTGAGGTCTTGAAAAAACACAAGGAGGAAATTTAACTGCTGGGGATGTTCTTAGAATCTAAAAATTATTATTATTCTTTTTTAAAAAAATATATTATAAAGTATGGTAAATATATATCGAATAGTACGAATTATTTAAACATGAAAATTTTGGTACCAATTGGTGTATTAAAGTTAACTTTATTATTATGAAATTTCAATTTTATATTTCAAATGTGTTTCAATATGATATCAATTTCAGATTGATTCTAAAGCTATTTTATGTTGATAGTGTATAACAAGGGCGTACTTATTCTTTATTAAATACGTTATTTAAGTTATTTATTTATTCTTTAAGAAAAGGTTAAAAATAGCGAAAGTAGCTCTGTTAATTTGAAAGGTTTGTCTACAGTAGCGACCTTAACTTTGAAAAGGAGGCGAGATATTTGCACGCACAGCAGCAACATAAGCAACAGCAAAAAAAAAAGTTATATAATCCTTCCCTGGAGAGTGATTATCTCTTATCAGGACCTCTTGTACCAGTACCCTTATTTTACCTTCAAGTTTGTCATACAGCTCTCTATTATTATACAAGCAGCGCATTGATATCTGAACTGTGTGGCCTCCGTACTCCTAATACCAGATTCAATTTTAAACAGCCAAAAAAGGGTACAAGGCACATTCAAATGTGTCGATCATTTTCTTTAGCAGTAAAGAAAGATATATAGATCAATATAGATATTTTATATAAATCCGTGGGCATGTACGCTGTTACATTTAAGGAATGACTTTCAGGATACCTTAATCAGTATACTTTAAGAGCTATAAGTGGAAATGTATTGAAGTGAGATCTTCAGTAGTAAAAGAGTACAAGTAATTTTTTGCTCAGTAAAATACTCCTGTCGATCAGTTTAATGCTACCAAATACCTCTATCGGATCTTGTCTGTCACGATCTTAATTGAATTTTTCTTTTAAATATTCATTATTCGAATGACTTATATGCATATAATATCCCTTCTTTAAAGATATAAATCTACCAAATTGGCAATATTTAGTAAGAATATACATACGTAAAGATATATACTATAGGCTATATAACAAAGATCACATATATTTCAATACATGTCACATATATACTGCTTGAATCAAAGACCCAAAAAAGAATGGCCTTTATATTTGGCTTTGGACAAAACAGCTTATTGGATCTGACCACCATATCTATTGCGCAGTACTTATTTAATATCCAACAAACATTACTAGATTTTCATTACCCTATCAGAGTCTTCTCAGCACAGAAATATGTTTAATTCAAGCGTATAATTTAAGGTAAAAGTAAAAAAAAAAAAACATGCCAGTAAAGCCAAAAACAAGAAAGTGACAGTCTGGATTTACTGAATTAGTATACAAAAAATACGAATTTGTCACTATTAAAAATACGCAAGCATACACATCTTTGATAATTTTATGCATTGAACAAACTTATATATCTTTTAATGCAAAACTGTACAAGGATGCCAAATGCTATTGAGAGGTGCTCACGGATTCCTTTATCGATAAAGAATTATTTATCTAGAAACAGTAATGTTTCTATTTTAGAATTATACTTCTTTTCTCAAAAAAGGAACAATATGTTTAACATTCATAAGTTTTACTTTTGCTAAAAGCAGGTATAAAATATTTCTAATGCCCAAATATAGAAAAATACTTTTACTACTATCAACACAGCCTTTGAGAATCGTCTTTATTTCACTATTATATCTTATTTTCAGGATCCTCTTTGCTATACAAACCGGTAATTTTTTACTCAAAATAATATATAGTATGTTATCTTGTACCAAGAGCTTTGCTTAAGGCTGAATATTACATGTATCCTCTTAATGAAAAAGCCACAGGAAGAAAGATCCATTTAGTGCGCTTTTAAATAAGGTTATACCTTTGGAGTATAGTACTGATGGTAGCACCGTCGTATTATTCATTACACAACACCTATATTTGGCACATCTCACTCTTCTAAAAACAGAACAGTAGTGTCTTTCGATAAGAATTGCCTGAGCACCTGAGAAGAGTTTTTTTTTCCAGAAGTATATAAAGAGCAATGAAAAAAAAATACTTCCATAATAAAATACTAATACACTATATTCATCAAACAATTATATCTATAATATGAACTACTCTTCTATTCTTAATATCTTGAAGGCACCTGTCTGGTATATGGTGTCTCATCTTCCAGAAGAAAACACACTTGGACAATTCGGGAAGCTTGCTGCTGTTTCACTGGCTGTTTATTACGCTTCAGACGTGAGTATAATGGAACATTATTTTGTTTAGCTGTTGATATACTAATACAACGTCTAAAACTTCAAGAAATTATACTGTGCATTCTTTGGACCTTTAAGCAAAATACCCGGTCCATTCATTGACAAGTTCTTTTACGAGCCTGAAGGTGTTCTTTTCTCTCATATTGGAAAAAAGTAAGGACAGATCTTCTTTTATGAAGAACTAAATGAAAGCCTAAATAACATCAAAACAAATGACTTCTTAGATCCATAAGATACCTGGACTATCATGAAAAGTATGGACCTGTAATTCGAGTCGGTCCAAAGACAATATCAATTTCTGATAAGACTATGCTCAAGCAAGTCCTTGTTACCGAGGATCTTGAGAAAGGACCAGTATACAGCATCCTTCAGAGTGAGCCAAAACCTTCTTAGAAATCCCGCTCTTTTTATTTTATAAACGCTAACTTAATTTTAATTATTCCCCAAATTTAGATCCTGGAAATGAGTCTATGTTTGATGCAAGAGATAAGACCTATCATAAAAATAACGTAAGACCGCTTTCATTTCATAGCACTATATTCTTTGATGCCCATTCTAATAATATATCGTTTTCACAACAGAGACGCATGTATTCGCCGGCCTTTTCCGTAAAGTATATAAACTCAATTGAGCCGATAATGCGATCTTGCACAGAGATCATGGCACAAAAAATCAATAGTGATATTGAGCGTACAAAAGGAGATGGCGAATATGGAACTGTCGATGTATGGTACCTTTTTCAATGTCTGGCTCTGGATGTAATTGGCGAGTCAGGATTTGGTAGCAACTTTAATACAGTTGGAGACGAGGACCATCCTATACCACAATGTCTCAAAAAGAACATGAACGGTGCAGCATATGTAAGTCTAAAGCAATGATACCAATCTAAAATACTAAAAGAAAAGTGATTATCTCATTCACTAGTTTGTCAGCCATCCTTGGATCACATTGCTTATAGCCATGAGTGGACTAATGACGATTACACCTTTGGCAACCGTAAGATTCAAATTATAATTATTATCTTCTATTGACAAAGTAGGTAGCTTATTAACATGTTTTTCTATTTAGCATATGCTTGAGATAGTTAAGGATCGTGTTGAAGGGCGCACAAAAAGACGTGAAGACATCCTTCAGATTATGATCGACAATGAAAGAGCAAAGAATGGAGACAAGCCATTGGATATCATGAGAATTGCTCGCAGTACCGTTATGTTTGTTATCGTAGGCTCTGAAACTACAAGCAATACAACTGGATTTGCCATTATTGAGTTGTGTCGTTCGCCTGATACAATGAAGAGACTCAGAGATGAAATTGATGCAATTCAACTACCAGAAGGAGAAACTACCTTTCACCAAGACCAGCTCAAAAATCTTCCATATCTTAATGCTGTTCTCAATGAAACACTGCGTTTGGACTCTATAACTGCATCAGGCCTCGAAAGAATTGCCACTCAAGACAGTGTTTTAGCAGGAACCGTATTTGTCCCTAAAGGAGTAAGCCTGTTTTCTTTTTTCAGTCTAAACACTCATAAGCATGGATTAATAACATAAATTTTATAGACGATTGTCAATTGTAACATATTATCTGCCCATCGTCGTGCAGACTATTGGCCTGAACCTCTAGCTTTCAAACCTGAGCGCTGGCTTCCGGATTATGAGCACAAGCCCGCTCTTGATGCCTATCATCCTTTCAGTTCAGGGTAATAATATATATACAAACATAAAGTTTATCTTTATTAATTCCCTTGATCAGATCGCGAAATTGTATAGGAAAAAGCTACGCATTGAACGAGATGCGCCACACTATTGCAATGATTATCAAAAATTATGAGATCAAGCCAATTCCTGAAGAGATGGAGGCTTCCAAGAACATATGCGGCTTCTTAACATTGACTGTAAGATCCGGTAGTTTCAAGATTCAGCTGAAGCCAAGAAGTGCATAATAAAAAAAGCACACTATCAATAATTTATTATACCATATCAAATAATCAACTTTTAGTTTCAATAATATTACTTCTTTTTCTTTTATATTTCTAGTTAATTTAATAAAGACCATATATATACATCTTATTTATTTATTTCCTTGGCATTATGTGAACCTTATTTTGCCAATATTTAAAGCTTATTTTGGCATAATGAGTAACTAAAGCTATTTTGAGTATGAGATACATGTATAATTGTTTAATGATTTATTTGCACTTGAGTTACTAGCTTGTTAGGTTTGCTACCCTTTAATGATTTGCTAGTGGTTGTATGTTGTTCATTTTACTCGTTTTGGGCGTGTGTTCAAGATAATTATTTGACATAGATGCTTTACTTTTGGGGAAAGAACCGCTTAAACATTCTATAGCTTTAGTAGCCAAAATTTGAATACTAATTATTTGACTTGTCATTACATAGTCAAAGATACTCATTCAAGAGATCCCTATAAAAGTTAGGATTCTTTTATTTTATTTTATAAGAAAAAGAAAAAAAGAAAATTCAATCTCAGACTTTAGAAAACTATGACTAGTATTTTTTGCTGGATATCCTTTGAAAGTCCAGTACAGGGTTTTTTTTTTCAATGCCATTTCTTTCTTACTAAACCTGATCCATCACTCAATCTATAATGGTTGTTGCAATTGGTTTTGAAGGCTCCGCAAACAAGCTTGGAGTAGGAATTATTCGGCACGAAAATGGCAAGGTTGAAATATTAGCTAATGTCAGAGATACATACATTACACCTCCTGGCCAAGGATTCCTTCCTCGCGACACCGCACAGCATCACAGGGATTGCATTTTGCAAGTCCTTAAAAAAGCACTCGAAGATGCTAAAATGACACCCAAAGATATCGATGTTATCTGTTTCACAAAGGGTAGATCTTTTGTCTCTTTTTATTTTTGTATCATTCCGTTTGTGAAATACCAATTTTTTTAATATATATATAGGTCCTGGAATGGGTGCGCCATTAACATCAGTAGCCGTTGTTGCACGCACTTTATCTCTGATGTGGAATAAACCACTTGTTGGTGTCAATCACTGTGTTGGCCGTAATAAACCTTTTTCTTTTCTTTCATTTAAATTTCCTGTCATTTTCATAATCTGATCAAATATTATCAACAGATATCGAGATGGGTCGTGAAGTTACAGGTGCCATCAACCCAGTAGTTCTTTATGTCAGCGGTGGAAACACTCAAGTAATTGCTTACTCCCAACAACGTTACAGAATTTTTGGCGAGACATTGGATATTGCTATTGGAAATTGCTTGGATCGGTTTGCACGAATTCTTAATCTGTCAAATGATCCCAGCCCAGGTTACAACATCGAACAATATGCGAAACGGTAAGGTTTTTATTTATAATTACACGTACACACATATGTATATATACGTATATGCGTATTTGTATGTACCAGTGCTCAAATTTCAGTTTACAAGTGGAAAGAATTTTATCCCATTACCTTACTCTGTCAAAGGAATGGATGTGTCATTCTCGGGAATCCTGTCGCACATTGAACAAATCGCAAGCGATCAACTTCCCAAAGGCCTTGTAACTCCCGAAGACCTTTGTTTTTCTCTACAGGAAACTCTATTTGCAATGCTGGTTGAGATTACAGAACGTGCAATGGCACATGTGGAATCAACCGAAGTTTTGCTTGTTGGTGGTGTTGGATGTAAGTTGATGATTAAGCATTGTAATATACATGACTAGATTAATAAGAGTCTTTTCACGTTAGGCAACGTTCGACTTCAGGAAATGATGGAACAAATGGCTGTCGAACGTGGAAGTACAGTGTGTGCGACAGATGAGCGGTAAATAATGAAAGCTCAATTAGGAGTTGTTTTTTCTTTTTTTTCCTTTTAGGTTTTATTATTAGTTATGAGTGCTTAATTATTGTTTAAATAGGTTTTGTATTGACAATGGTATCATGATTGCTCATGCTGGATTGCTTTCTTTCAAATCCGGATATACTACACCTCTTGAGGAAAGCACATGCACTCAAAGATTCAGAACAGATGAGGTGCATGTTGCATGGAGAGAAGATTAACATTGAGAAAAAAAAAAGAAAGAAAGAAGGAAAGATAGTAGGCACGTGGCCTATGCAACAATTTTTAGCTGTCACATTTCTGCTTGATTTCTTGGATGAACTCAAATCGCTTTTTAATGACCCGGCTCTTTAATAAAAAGAAAAAAGAAACAGGAAAAAGAAAATAACTTTTTTTGTAAATGTCCAAACGAGATTCCCGCCGACAATATCCTTTGCTGTCTGATACCACACCTCTCTTACAAGAGACAGGTGTACAGGCCTACAATGGTACAACACCCACTACGCCGGGTGCTGTGCGTGCCAAACCTAAGCAACCTAATCGTACAACGAAAATATCACAAAAATTGAAATTGTTTCCGGATGACGACGACCAAGTGCTGATGCCAGACGACATTGATGCCGATGTATATACACAGCTTGCACAAATCCCCCATGGGTCAGCACGAATTGAAGCTGAACGTCTTAGCAAGATTAATCGTGATGAACTCTCTCGCGTCACAGCCTACTGCACTGCATCGTAAGAATAAAGAAATTGCTATGGTGATTTACAAGCTGATGTTTCTATATTCCTATCTAGAGCCTATCGTATGGACGAGTTGACAAAGTATCTCCAAACCAAAAAGCGCTTAAATGGAGCCGCCCCGAAACGTTTTGATGAATGGTAAGCCGATAACAACAACAAAAAAAAAAGAATATATGTGAGAGTGGAGGACAATGTATGCAGTTGTGGGATATTGCACTATGCAAGTTTTGCTTGCTGCATACTTTGTGGCGGGGGAGGGAAAGGACTGATGGCCAAGGTTCCATTAGTGTGTATACGCCCTATGCCTTAAAATTCCCTATTTCGCCTCCCAAAGAAAACGCTCCGAATGATGTAACTTCTGCAGCGCATGGCCTTCCCGAAATGTTCCTATTCGATTACGGCGTAGTGGTTTTTTGGGGAATGACATTACAAGAAGAGCAAAGAGTATTGAAGGAGTTGGAACCCTTTGAAGATGAAAAGTTGGGTAAATTAAAAATGATACTCTAGAGAACTTCTTTGATGCTGACTTTAATGGATTTAGAAAGTGACGATGTAGAAACTGAAGCGTTTAATTATCATTACAACGAATATTATCAGCCACGGTAAAGAGTGGTTTTAGAAGTAGCAAAATTTGTAATACAATGAAATGACTAACGTCATGGTAATTGTAGCATCTATAATGACATTATTACTCTTCGCCATCCTTCCAACTATCTGGTCAAGCTTACTATCGCCCACGCGATTGCCCAAAGTGTCAAAATGACGCTCTTTGAGCGTCTGATTGATGATACGATTAACGAAACAAAGTACATTCCTCAAGTTATGGCTGAAAGTGGAACCATTCAAATGTCAAGGTAAACAGAAGCGCATGTAAGGTCATATAATGACCAAATGTAAAAATATGAACATGAGTAATAAAAAGAGATCCCTAATCATACTATCTACAACAGAACGGCCATTACCAAGAAGATTGGCCAACTTTTCATTATGCGCATCAACGTAAATTTAGTGTCTAATATTCTCGATACACCCGAGATTTTCTGGTCTGAACCTGCCCTTGAGCCTCTTTACAGCGCCATCCGAAGTTATCTCGAGATTTCCCAGCGCGTAGAGCTGCTGAATCAGCGCGTAGAAGTAATTAGTGATCTTTTGGAGATGCTGAAGGACCATTTAAATAGTTCGCATGGAGAACATCTCGAGTGGATTGTTATTTGGTTGATTGCGATGGAAATTCTTGTAGCTGTTATTACCACCTCCCTGGATGCCTTTAGTTTGTCTCACAAGTAGAAAAAGAAGAAGAAATATATACGAAATAATGGTTAAACACATCGTTAAAAGAGACATTACTCTTGTATAAAATAAATATAAGTCGATTGAGAATTTCGTTTCTTTTCATTTTGTATCTGTATCTTTTCTATCACAAAAAAGTTTTAATTATTAGCTTTATTGTTTTTTCTTTCATGTCTCTTAAACCACTGTATACAAGTGTCATAGAGTGTCTTAAAGACAAAGACGTCACGAAAGGTAACTTTATATACAAGGTTTGCACTGACAGAAAAGGATAAAAATTTAAATATGTTGTAGATCTACTTGAATGTGGTGAATCAGTATACAATCTCTTTCAATCTTCAATTGATTCTTTGGATAAAGTGCAAGATGCAAACATTACAGATGACAAAACAAAGGCATTGGTAGACCTTGCACAAGAGATGCTATTGGTCTATCCATATAAACAAGTTCCTGTCTATTGGCGCAGACTATTGATGGAATCTAGTTTAATAATAACGGCACACCAGCTGTTAAACTTGACAGCCGCTACAGCTCCTGATCCCGAGGTAGCAAGAAAATTAATTCATGACCTAGACACCGCAATGGTGGTTAGCGGTGCACCAGGAAAAGGACGTCATGCTCTTGGTCATGGCATTCTAGATCAAGTACAACAATGGCTTTCATCTCAACACCCTCGCCAGAAATTTTCATATTCTCAAAAACGAGTTTTAGAAAGCCCTGTTATTCAGTACCCTATTGAAAGGCCACCAAACTTACCAAGTTTTACTGGATTCAGTGACCATGTTTATAATAACAAGGGACCATTTGTATTTAAAGTGGGCGCGGTGGATCATTGGCCAGCATTTAATGATCATCCTTGGTCAAGTATTGATTATCTGTTATCCATTGCGGCAGACCGAGTGGTACCTGTGGAGATCGGAAGGTCATATGTAGACATTGGGTGGCAACAGAGGATGATGCGTTTTGAAGATTTTGTTGAGAAGCACTTGATAGGATCTGAAGTAGGATATCTGGCACAGCACGACCTTTTCTATCAGATTCCTCGGCTCTCTAATGACTTGATTATTCCAGACTACTGCTTTGTGAGCCCACCTCCTACATCCACATATACTCCACCCCTGGATGTTCTTCAGAATGCATGGCTTGGGCCTGTAGGGACAATAACACCGCTTCACCATGACCCATTTCACAATATCCTTGTCCAGGTTGTTGGGCGTAAATACATTCGTCTCTACGCACCAGATCAATCCGAGATTCTTTATCCTCATGATGGAATTATGGCAAACACAAGTCAGGTACACTACACAAAAGACCGATACTTGTAATTGAGCTAACATATAAATAAAGGTTGATACAAGTTGCCCAGATCTTCAAAGATTCCCCAGGTTCAAAGAAGCTGTTTACACAGAATGTGTTCTGTCTCCAGGTGAAATGCTTTATATTCCAGTAAGTTGAATAGCGAAAATAACATACATATTATCTTACTGATATTATCATCTTCTAAAGCCAAAATGGTGGCATGATGTACGGTCGCTTGAAATGAGTTTTAGCGTGAGTTTCTGGTTTTGAAGTGTCTGTACACTTCAACATAAAACAGACAAGAATTATATTTCACGTATCAACAAAACTAAAGAAAAAAAGTGCCTTTTAAATTTAGCCTTGTATTTTATTAAACTATTTTCCGTATTAACTTTGTGTAGCATACATTTTAACAAATCTATTGGCTTGGTTTTGAGATAGGTACTATGCTCTTGTTTAGTTTGTTAAAGAGGAAGCTTTGTTTGATGAAATGTCAGATTACAAAAGAAGAAGGATGGTGTCTAGAGCACTTTAAAGATAAAATATGCAGATAATACTACCAATTCGTCTACCTTTTTTTTAAAAAAAAATGTGCTGAGCCAATTGACTAATACATTTTTAACGTCTCATTTGAACTTTTCGGCTATTTTCTTACCGTCCCCAGCTTATATAGTATCTATCACCATTTACTGCTTCCTCCTTATACCTCTTTCTGAATTAATGAGTAGAGACAATTCTGTTTACTAAATAGATCTAAGCACTTTATAGGTACGGTATATAGGTATTCATACATTCGCTAGGCCTAATTGTAAAATATGAAAGCAATAGGAAAGTAAACTAAAATAAAACTTGCTTAAATTTAATTCGTCATATATATATAAATATATCTATATAATTACACGAATTATTTGAGACACCTAAAGGAGCCTCAGATAATTGAAATCGTCTGAATCTCAAGTAAAAATATATATATATATATAAAATATACTGTATCCCCATCAGGACTTTACTTGGTAGTACGCCTCTTTATCTTTCTGCAATGGCCATGAAAGCATCCACACGTCGAAAAGTGTCTTATGTAGTCCAACAAAAAGACGAAGAAAGAGCCCATTGCCTTGGTGTAAACTCACTTGCTCTTCACACTCCTCCAGGCTCTAGTGGTGTCCTGTATTCAGCTGGCAGAGATGGTGTTGTGGCTGGCTGGGATCTTCACATGCCAATTACCGATCGTCATGACAAAGGTTGGGTACTTGATGAAACACTCGAGGTAAAATGGGATCTACCAGAAAAAAAAAAGTTGTTAATGGTTCACATTATTGTCATTACTCTGTAAAGTCTGCACCAAGGGCGACGTCTAAAGTTTTTTCGCAAATGCACACCGATTGGGTTAATGACATTGTTGTTTGTCAAGGAGGAGAAAGTGGTAACTTACTTTTTTTAAGAAAAAAGAGAGACACACACAAAGTTAATTGTATTAATATTCTTGGTGGAAATAGTTGTTTCTGCATCGTCCGATCGAACTGTCAAGCTTTGGCGTCCTTATAGCGATACACCAAATACTGCACACACAATTGGACTTCATTCCGACTATGCAAAATGTCTTGTGTATGCATCAGAAGTGGGATGGGTAGCAAGTGGCGGGTTAGACAAGAAGATTAACGTGTGGGATCTTGAACGAGGAGTAGCTTCCTTGACTATTTCTACTGGCCCTCGCTCTCTTCACACCAATTCTTCTGATAATCTTGCTCACCATGACGAATCGAAATCATCAATCTATGCAATGGCAACAACACCAACAGGGAGCTTGTTTGTTACTGGCTCACCTGAAAAGGTAGTTCGGTTGTGGGACCCACGTACCGGAAATCGCATTAGCAAGTTAACTGGACATACCGATAACATCCGAGCATTATTAGTCAGTGACGATGGTGAACAGATATTGTCGGGCTCTTCTGATTCTACAATCAAGCTCTGGTCTGTAAGAGCTCAGAGGTGCCTTGCTACTTATGAAACCCATTCAGACTCAGTGTGGTCACTTTACTCAAATCGTTCAGACTTACAGACCTTTTACGCTGGTTCGCGCGATGGACTAGTAACGAAAACAGAGGTTTCGGCTGGTAGCTTCTCTGATGCATCTGAGAGTGAATGTATTGCTTTGTTTAAAGAGTCCTCAGGGGTAGTTAAGATTGTAGCTTTGGACGATACTTATATCTGGACAGCGACATCAAGCGCAAGTGTCAACCGTTGGCTCTCTGTACCCTCGCGCGATGCACGCTTTGAAGGACAGAGAACAGAATTCGATCCAGAAATCTTACAGTCCTCGATTTTCAAGATTCCTTCCAAGATGAACTTTACCCAGCCCGATCCTTATGTGATGGGTGATAATCTTACTCTTTATGCTGGTTCTGTTATGTCTATCCCACTAAGCATCCAGGAGGATGACACGGACTCAACCGATTCTGTGATACCCCTCAGAAGTGAGCCAAACAGTGTCATTAAGGGCAAACCAGGCATAACATCACATTGTGTGCTTAATAATAGACGCCATGTATTAACTCAGGATACTAATGGAGAAGTTGCATTATGGGACCTTGTGAAATGTACTCAAATCAAAAGATTTGGTAAACAAAAGCTGGATCGTGTTGCGCAAGAGATTAATAATGTTGAGAGTTTTCCTGCTTGGTGCTCGGTTGATACTAAGATTGGTGTAAGCTTTCATTCTTTTTTTTGTTTTTTGTTTTTAAAAAAAACATACCCTGCTTTCTAGATTTGCAACTAATTGTAACAAAACTTAGGCTATAACAGTGCAATTACACGAACCTTCTTGTTTTGACTGTGAAATGTATGCAGATGAAGCTGAGCTGCCCCCCGATTACACGATTACTGAAGACCAACGCAGTGAGTTAACACACATGGTTTTTAAGAATAAGATGTATATACATATTCTAAATAAATTTACAATTGCAATAGTTAACCTTGGAAAATGGGTCCTTATGCGATTATTTGAACACTTTATTGTTGCTGAGTTGGAGAAACAAAAGCAAGGTATTAATCGATACCAGGAGAATGATGGTGAGCCACGTTTGGCAAATGAAGATCCAAAACCAGCAAAAGATGGATTGGTTCCTTCGGAAGCAGCTAATACAACTACCTCAACCTCAACCGCGACCGCTACCAATACGACCAACACATCCACAACCGCAGCCGTAACTGCAAGTCCATCAAATTCAACAGTTCCAGATGCAGTGCATGAATCACTACACGTAGCGGAATCATTGCGTCTCCCATTGGCTGCAATCACGACAGACTTTAATAGTACTTTCCATGCGCAGCCCCATGACAATTCTCTGCATGGACCTTTCACTGCTCCACCATCTACTACTGGTCATCAACTATCAGATTATTTCTCAGAATCTCACCACCCTGCTCGCCGAGATTCTTCTGTTCAATTGCCTGCACCTGTTGTACTGTCTCATAGCCCAGCCTCACCCACAAACTCTAACTTTATGCATCGTCTTAAGAGCTTATCCGCAAAGGCCAAGCTTGCACGAGTACCTACACATGAAGAAAATACCAAGCAAGATACCCACCTTGGCGGTGTCTCCGAACAAGATGAAGATGAAAACAAAGACAAAGACAAGGATAATGAAAAGAAAGAAACAACTCCTGTACTAACGTCATCTACCTCGACCACAACCACAACTACAAACACAACCACAAGCACAGCTACAACTACAGCCACACCAAAAACTAGCACAGAGGATTCAAAGAAAGAAGAGGTAATACAAATTACAGAACATTGTCTTTATACTTATTTGCCAACAGCAGAGACCTAAAGGAGGGGTAGCTCAACCAGAAACTCTAGCTGCTGTTCCGGAAAATGTAACCTACACTCCACCTCCGTCAGCAGATTATCCGCCTCTATCTCTTCCAGGTCAAACTACGATTGTGATAGCAGAAGAAAGCGCAGAAGCATCGACAGGGATGGATCTGTATCGCGGTACTCTCGCAACTACAGGGATTGAAGCAGATTCAGTGCTCAAGGCAGCTCCATCATGGCTGCTTTCTTTCCTCCTCTTTGTAAGTGACAATTAGGATAATAATTGTCTATTTGATCTTGACTTTTTTATTATTATTATCATTATTATTACAGAACAAGACACCCACAAGAGAAACCGTCAAATTAACCTTTGTACTTAAACCCCTTGAAAATTCCAATACAGCTGAGCTACCTGGAGGGTAAGATTAATACATACATATATATATATATTAAAAAAAGAAAAAGAAAAAGAAGAAGAAGAAGAAGAAGAAGAAGAAATGCTTTTTGTGTGAGTATATCTCTAATCAAACGAATATTACTTTTAGAAGTAATAATCGATTATTGGCAAACCGTGTATTAAGAGTGCGCAAGCTGGCTCAGTATATTGCCGAAAAATTGAATGTCAATGTTGAGACCCATTCCATTGTATTGGCGTGTGGCGAAACAGTATTGGGACCTACGATGACACTAGCCACAATTAAACAGCACATCTTAAAGTCAAATGGTGATATCCCTCTCACGTATAGTGTTCAACCGGTGCCTGGAAGCACTGCTTCTACTAATGTATAAATGTTTAATAAGAATAAATTTCCTTACACACTTAAGATCTCATTAATACATAACAATAATGATAATAGTAATAATAGTTAATATTTCAAGGTATTTTGTTTAAAAAAAAATAAAAATAAACAAATTGTGCATGAATACGTTTTTTTCCCCTTCTTTATTTAATTCATATATATTCACGCAAAAGTTAATTACATAATCTGATGGTAGGAATAACGATAAATACACATATAGCTGTGGTAAATCTGGTATATCAAGCTTAATTATATTATAAAGGATATATGATAAGTTTAAACATTCCTCATATGCTTGTATACATTTATGGACGGGTTATCTTGTGCATTAACAGGGGAGGGGTAAAGGATAATTAAAGAAGCGGGGAAGGGACAGAGCGAGAGAGAGAGAGAGAGAGAGAGAGTGAGTGGTCGCGTCAGGTGTGGCTTATATACACTATCTGCCTCCGACCCATGCTCATCATTGCAACTTGATTATGGATCCTTACGAGTATACAAGCAATGGAAATGATAACGTCCCAGCCGACGAAAACTTGGCCGATGATGAGATCGCTAGACTAGAAGAAGAGCTTACACCTAAGGGTGCAGACTATTACGGAATTTTGAACATTTCAAGAAGTGTACGTTGAAGTATAAATAATTATAATGAATCTTGGTGTTGAGAACGGCAGCATTCTAAAGATACTAATAATATAATATGAATCTTAGGCTAGCGAAGATGATATAAAGGATGCCTATAAGAAGCTCTGTCGGTTCTTCCACCCCGATAAGGTAAACCAAAGAAAGAAATAAAAATAAAAGATAAAGGCCGAAAATGAATAGACATTATATATATATATATACTATATCTAAACTAATTGTTAAATATTCATTATGAAGCATAACACAGATGAGACCAAGAAGATTGCTGAATCCCGGTTCCAAGTAATCCAAAGAGCTTATGAAGGTAATGCAAATTTGGGATATATTTGTGATCTGAACTAACAAGAGTTCTTTATATTATTTAATGCAAATAATAGTCTTGACTGATGCTCAAAAGCGTGCGATTTATGATACTTATGGTGAGGCTGGCCTGACCGCCAAGTGGGAGGTTGGACCCAAGTTCAAGTCAACAGATGAGGTAAGCATAAGAAATTTGATATTGAATGCAATTGAACAAAGAGAACTTATGTCGTTATGTATGTAGATGATGGCCGAATTTGAAAAGAAAGAACGTTTGAGAAGAGAAAAGGAATTGGAGAGTCTAGTGAGAGCACACAATGACTTTACCCTGAGACTGGATGCGACCCAGATCCTGGATCCTTATGATCCTCCAGTGTTTACCTTTGGACAGCCTACTCAAGTACGCAAGAAGCACCCATTGGAGTTTCTGACACGCGGAAGAGTCGAACAGTTGTTTATGCGACACTCGTTTGAGGTAAGCTTATTTTGCTCGCATTATTTGGACTGTCGCAAGTTTGTGTTTAGTGTGACCTAACACTGGAATGTGTGATTCTTGTAGACCCAGATTGGACCACAGACTCAAGCCATTATTGGAGGTTCGATGGTCACACAGGGAGGTATGGGAGGAGGTAACTTGGTAGGAACGATTCGCCATACAGTATCGCCAAAGTTATGGGGTGAAGTAAGTTTGTTTTGGTTTTGGTTTTGGTTTTGATTTTGGCTTTTTGTTTTGGTGCTGATATTGACAATGAAATAATCTTTAACTGTATACGTTTGTGTGCTTGTACGTGCCAACAATTCTTTCTTTCTGAATAGTTTAGTGCAACGATACTCCATCCAAGAATATTCACACTCAAGACGAATTACAACGTTTCTGCGGACAGGTAAATATATCGAATATGGCAATAATTAAATGGACCCCAATGTACGTATAAATAACAGGAATGTCTGGGTAACAAAGTTTTGTCAATGCGACCTTTGTATCGCGTACCCTGTCTGGTCCTCCGGTCACCTCCGTGACTGCCGGCCGACGTCTGTTTAAATCCACAACAGGATATATCACTTACAGAACAGGCGAATGGGCCCTTGGATCCTGGGGGGATTCTTCGCGTGCATCAGATAAATCGTCTGTTTCGCTTGGACTTGCGTCAGCACACAAGCAGGGTAGCTATAGCGTTGAACTCCAGGTATGTAATGTATACATTTATACATCTATACATATACTTAATAACGGCTGAAATTAATCTTAGACGGGAATTCAAGCGTCGCATTTGGCGGGTGACTATACTCACAAGCTACCCAACCATATGGTTCTGCGTCTGTCATCATCATTGTCTTCTTCTGCCGGAATTGCAGTTAGTATCGGCAGTGACCACAAGGTATCTGAACATATCCGTTTTGGAATGGTACTAGAGTGCGGCTTGGCATCGGGTGTGATGATCAAATTCCGGTAAGATAAAATTATCTGCATATATATATATATATATATATATTTACTTATTAATTTGTCTTTACCAGAGCTTCACGTCTTGGACAAAAGTTTTCGGTGCCTATCATATTGTCTCAAGGCCTTGATTTGAGGGTTGCTTTGGGTGCATTAATTGTGCCTTCTTCAGTTGCATTGGCCCTTGATCGTTATGTGCTGACACCTAGACGTAAATTGCGGATAAAAGAGCAAGTATACCAAGAAATTGATAATCTCTAAAAAAAAAGTTAAAAAAAAAAGAAAGAAAGAAACAGAAATCCGGCAGACTATTTTGGCTATCTGCTCATTCATTAAGGGTTCTTTGATCGGACTTTGAGCCGGGTCTGATCTGATCCAAAAGAGTCTGGTCGATTCAGATGGTTGTGCTGACATTAGATTTGTATTTTCAGGAAGATCGCGGCCCTGCGTGAAGAACATCAGGAATATCTCGCCACACGCAAGCAAGAAGCCCTTGACGCCCAGCTACTTATGGCTGACATTGGGCAACGGAAGCGTAACCAGGAAGAAAAGAAGGAAGATGGTAAACAAAAAGAAGAAAGAAGCTAGTTTATGAATCATAATGATAAATTGTATATTAATATATTATTGCTGCTATTATTATAGGACTGGTGATTGAAGAGGCTGTTTATGGAAATTTGAATGGACAGGATGAAGATGAGAAGGTGGACGTAACATTGGTAGTGCAGACACTCGTAAATGAGTCTCGGTTGACGATCCCTGGGGGTCATTCCAAGGTAAAGGCTAGAAGCCTAGCAACTGATTTGAAGGGAAAAAAAGTAATTAACAAAATGTATTGCTGGTTAATAGACAAGTATTTTGGGTTTCTACGATCCTTGTTTGGGTGAGCACAAACAGCTTAAGGTGCGCTATCGATTCCGGCACCGGCTGCACGAAGCCATTGTGGAAGACACGGCTCACTTGATCTGCCCGATGCAATGTAAGTTATTTTTGGAGACATGATATCTATATTTATTGATTTAAATTTGTGTGTATTCATAAATACAAATATGCTCACATACGTATATGGTTAAGCCCATCTTATTTAGATTCTAAATCACCAAAAAGAACACAAAAGTGTATAAATAAATCGTTACACATACACCACTGGTGGCAAATATATTTCCAGGGGCCGTCTAAATTGTTAATCAAGAAAATAGCGACTTAAAATTTTGTTAATACATTTCTTCCTCTCTTTCCACTTTCTCACATATTTCATGTCTGCTCAGAATCGACCCGGTCATCCTCCTGGAGGAAGACCAGTCGATCCTCGTTATAGTCGTCAGCAGCAACAGATACCTGGAGGTGGGCCTCAGAGACCTATGTCGGCTTACCCCGATGCTCGTCCACGCCCACCCCCACATCACCGGCCTCCACATCACCAACCCCGAGACAGCCGTCCTCCACGAGAAAGCTTCCAACCCCAACAGCGCCCTATGATGGGCCCTCCCGGACGTATGTCTACCTCCAGACCTATGCGTCCTCCACCAAACCAATACGATCCATCTCATCCCCAAGGTCCCTCCTACCAGAGAGGTCCTGGTGGTCCTCCTCCCAACTCCGGCGGAATGAATCGATCCCGTTCCCTCTCTCGCCCAGAACGACAACGCCCACGGCAGAACATGATCCGATCTCCATCCCAACAAAGACAACAGCAGCAACAGCAAATGTATTACCAACAACACCCAAATCAGCGACCACAAATGCATCCTAATCAGCAGCAGAATCCCATGCAGCGCTACCCGGCTCGTCCGCGCGTATCGTCACAACCTATGTCTAACCGTCTGCAGCAACAGTTGCAGCAACAGCAAATGCAGCAGCAGCAAATGCAACAGCAGCAGTTGCAGCAACAACAACTATTGGAGCAAAACCAACCAAAGGTCCCAGAAGAACAGCCAAAAGTATTGACCAACTGGTGGGCTTGGATGGCTTTCCTAGCCACTTGTTGTATCCCCAGCTGGTTTATCCGTGTTGTTTTCAGAAAACCGAATTCTATGATGCAACAAGCCTGGCGAGAAAAGGTAAGCCCAAAATCACACACACACACACACACACATATATATATATATATATACTTATTTAAAAACAACGTCTTGTTATGGTATTATTTTAATCTAATATTTTATATATATATATATATATTCACTTCTCTAAATAAAAGCTTACCTTGGTTTACATCATCATCCTTTTGTGTGGTGCTCTTGCCTACATTACATACGGTCTCAACGTCACTCTCTGTCCAGAATCACACGAAGACTACCCTTATTCAAGTTCATTAAACGGCGTTCGTGTCCCAATATATCACACCGGTGTCCGCGTATTTGGCCAAGTTTATTCGCTTGACGTCGCAAAGGGCTTCTTTGAAACAAAAAATATCACACTGAGTAATGACTATGAGAACATGGAAATTGGTGCGATATTTGACGGTGACACCACCGGGGCCTGTACTTCTTTTGACAAGAGCACCAAACTCACTCTTGGAAACTGTCGTGTTGACAGTCCCTATGGTAAGAGTCAATAAATACATAACTTTATTGGAATTACACCCCCTTTCATTTTTTTTCTAATATATAAAAAAAACAATTTCTTCTTTGGCAGGTGGTTCTCTTTCTCTCCCAGATAATAGCTGTTTATCACTCAAAGACTTACAGAAATATTCTTCCTCTTCTGTATCACTCGGTTTTGATTGGGCTGATCTTAGGCCCAATGGCGTCGATCGACTGGGTGACACCAGTATGGTCGTAGTTGGTAGCTCTGGTAAGCCCCCAACCCTCTTTGAAATATTTTAAATTGACTGATAGACTAACGAATACATGCATTTTTTTTTCGCTGACAATATTAATATTAAAATTTGCTTATTTTATTTTATTTTATTTATTTTTTTAAAAAAGTCCTCAATTTGACTTCTTATCTCAAAACGACTACTAGTCCTTATGGTGCAGCTGTCGATAGTACTCTTCGTAATAGTCTTGGAAACGACGCGTCCTACGCTTTGATGTATAGTGCAGCAGGCAAGGAAGCTCGCAACTGTTTGGTTGCTCGATATGCTATCGGTGTCATGGAAACAGAAACCGGTGGATGTATTGCAGATAAAATCATTATGAACATTATGCTGGTGGTAATTATTGCCATGATTGTCATTCGCTATTCCATGGCCCTGCTTTTCCAATGGTTTATTGCCAGCCGACTTGTCAAACCAGGCGGTCGGTCCAATTGGCTCGCCTGGCGTTCTATCAAAGGTGGCAATGACGACCCTGCCAACCATATACCAGGTCCTTACAACAACTATGGACCTATGAACATCTCCCGTAACTCCGCTACATCCCTTGGCTCATCCTCTTCGCGCGGTAATGGCAATGGCACCCCTTTGAGCGAGCAGAGCTCGGCTATCGAACTTGGTGGTGCGCGCTCCGATATCGTCAACACTGAACTGTACACAGTACTCCTGGTAACATGTTACTCTGAAGGAGAAGAAGGCCTGCGTTGTACCATGGACAGTCTGGCCGAAACGACATATTCAAAGAAACACAAAATTTTCTTTGTTATTGCAGATGGTATGATTACCGGTGAGGGTGAGACCCGCTCAACTCCTGAAATTGTCACTGGAATGATGGATCTTGATCCCACCATGGCGAACCCTAAACCATCCTCTTATCTCGCTATTGCTGATGGTGAAAAGCAACTTAACATGGCTAAAGTTGTAAGTAAATTGTTTAATTTTCTTTGCTGTTGGTGTTGTAGATAGCTAAAACATGCATTTATTTCAATAGTATGCTGGTCATTACAAAAATGTTCCTTGTATTGCCATCATCAAGTGCGGAACTGAGGAAGAAAAGGATACCCCCAAAGCCGGTAACCGTGGCAAGCGTGATTCTCAATTGATTTTGATGAGTTACTTCCAACGTGTCATGTTTAACGATCGACTATCCGAACTCGACTATGAGCTTTTCTGGAAAATGACTTGGTTAATGAAGGGAGTCACCCCAGACAAGTTTGAATTGGTTCTCATGGTAAGCAAAATAATAAAAAAGACTCATTAAATTTCTTATATTTTAGTGTCAAACCAACTTTTTCTGTTTATCACAAGGAAAATAAAAACAAACTAACTCCAAATTTTAATAGGTTGACGCTGACACAAAGGTCTTGCCAGATGCCTTGACATATATGGTTGCTGCCATGGCCAACGACATTACAATTATGGGACTTTGTGGTGAAACCAGAATTGCGAACAAACGAGCTTCTTGTAAGTTAAATGATGATGATAGTAATAATAATTTAAAGAATGTAATATATAATTTCTCATAACTCATTATCGTATTATTATTATTACTATTATTTTAGGGGTCACTGCTATTCAAGTTTTCGAATACTACATTTCACATCATTACGCCAAGGCTTTCGAATCTTTGTTTGGTATTGTAACCTGTCTGCCAGGTTGCTTCAGTATGTACCGTATCAAGAGTCCAAAGAATGGCGCATGGGTGCCTATTCTTGCCAACCCTGATATCATTCTCGAATACAACCAGAATGTGGTTACCACCCTCCACGAGAAAAATTTGTTACTTCTTGGTGAAGATCGTTTCTTGACTACGCTTATGTTGCGCACTTTCCCCAAACGCCAGATGATGTTTGTTCCTCAGGCTAGATGCAAAACTGTTGTCCCAGACGAATTCAAGGTTTTGCTATCTCAGCGACGTCGTTGGATTAACTCGACTGTTCACAACCTCATGGAACTGGTATTGGTGTCAGATCTGTGCGGTATTGCATGCCTCTCAATGCAGTTCTCTATCTTTATCGATCTTATCGGTACTCTTGTCTTGCCTGCTGCGATCTGCATGACGATCTACCTGATCATCAACACCTCGATCTCCTCGAACCCTCAATGGCAATCTCTTGCTCTGTTGCTAGCTATTCTCGGGATGCCGGCTGTTTTGATTGCCATTACTACGTTTAAGTTTATTTACGTTGTCTGGATGTGTGGTAAGTCTAATTGAAACCACATTTACATACATAGATATATATATATATATATATATATATATGTTATGGCGCAATTACATGCATCATTTGCTATATAGCCGCATAATACATCGTCTTACTCATCCATATTTTTTCTTTCTTTAGTATACATTTGTGCACTTCCCATTTGGAATTTTGTTCTTCCTGTCTATTCCTTCTGGCATTTCGATGACTTCTCTTGGGGTGCTACACGTGTGATTGCTGGCGAGAAGAAGGACAAGGGTCATGGTGATGCTGAAGGCAAATTCGACTCTGCACGACTTGTCATGAAGAAGTGGGAGGACTGGGAATCAGAGCGTACCGGCCAGCGAGTCAACAAAAACAAATTCGCCTTGAAAACTCCTCATGATCCACCTGCAGCATTTGACGGAAAAAATACCGTAACACCAGTCACTCCTGGCTTTGGTACAATCTTCAATGATCGCAAGATGTACGGTTCTTCACCTTCCGTCAACCTTTCCTAAAAAAATAGCTACATATATTATACACACACACACACATACACATATATATACGCAAACACATTCACCTAAAACTACACCTAAACCTAAACCTACCACTACACCTACACACGCACACGCACACGCACACGCACACTATATCCTTCCAATTTCCTATTCAAACTTACATATACATACAGTCATGCCTTCCTTTAATACACTTTCCATGGTTGTTCTTTATATCAATTGTATAAATAACAACGAAAAATATCACAAGGTATAAGTTTTATTTTTTACACTGCAATAATAATAAATAAAGAAATAAAAAAAAACAGCATTTCGCTCTAAATAAAATATATAAAAAAAATCCTCGCTAGCATACAGAAAAAAAAACAACCCCAACTTCCCCTTTCTTTCTGTCTTTCTTTCTGTCTTTCAAGTGCGCAGTTGCATACAAGTTGCGTGAAAACTTTGTGCATTTGGCCCAAGGCTGTTTTAAGTAGCCTAATATTTGAAATATATAAAATACTTCAACCGTAAACAAAGCCAAAAGCAAATGTTTTCTGTGTTGAATGTTTATATTATAAATATTCCTAAAATATACATCATAGTATGCATAATTAGAGTATATTTTTCAACTCTTTGTACAAAAAGGACAAAAAGGTTTTGGTGCTGAGAATAATGTGTTCCACTCTTCTGATATATAAATGAATGTGCATAAAGAAAAGTCTGAAAACAATTGGTTTTAAAATGAGTATCAACGCTAGTACTTAAAAAAACAACAACAACAAAGCGATATTAGATAATTACAACCCATGTTATTTAACTAAGATTATGTTTATTATCTCATAAAACTGCGCACGTACACCCCCCTCTGATCAAAACCTTTTATTCAACTGATCCCTATCGTTGTCTAAAATTTAATAAGCACCTGGTTTATGCTTTTAGTTTTTTGTTTGGGTGGTTTTTACTCCATCGTTTTAACCTAATATATCAATGGCTCTACAGATTTACCGAGATACAAATATATAAATATATGCGTGTCTCATAGGGGAAAAGCCGTTAATTTCCCTAGTTGATATCAGATAAAATATGACATTATACAAATATCATTCACAGCATTTTGCATTCGATTTTAAGAAGAAAACGGGCTTTGATGGTCTATTGCACTATTGAGATGATTACTAAATATGTGAAGTTAAAGTAGTTTTTAAATTTACATAAGCAATACAAAAATACCTATAGAATATTCACAGAACTACAATGACACAAATTGTGGTACCTTGTTCTTTAGTTTGGGCTTATAGACCTTTACTGTTGCACGATTTTCTTTATAAAACTAAACTAAAATACACTCGGCTTTTATATAAGAGTCTGATTTATTTTTTCCTTGTTAATTGCAGCACAATTGCCTATAAACCACAAGACAATTTTTCTTTGTCTATTATTTCCTCAAATACCAAAGATAGATTTTTCATATTTCTAGTTTATCAGGTACCATTTAATAGATCTTTAAAGCTTAACAGTCCTTTTAACAAAACACTCAGTCGCTTCCAGACTCTTATCTTCACTCATTCAGTAGGGTTCTTCTGATACTACTTCAACCACAAAGTGTGGTGTTAGGCTTTTAGTAAAACTTAAATTGAGACTACCATTAATAATATACATATTTTTGCCTTTTTTTTGTACAAATTAAATAAACGTTCTTTATTGGTTACAGGGAATTCTTTATCATAATGAGCCTCATTGATTTCATCATCTCTAGACTTTTTGTTTTGCATACTTGCTTCAGTGATACCACAGCTTGATTTCTGCAAATGCTTATACAAAAAGTTCCCATGGTCTTTAAGCCAGTAAATAAATGAAAGTCAGAAGACTTGTTTCTACATTTCTCTTGTTATTTGTGTGTATGACAAATGGCTCCCAAACGTAGCTATGATGATGAAATTTAAATAATACACTTTCTTAAGAAACATTATTATCATCATATCTGATATGGAATATCCTACAGCAATGATTTTCTTTCACAGAAATATTACGCTATTATGTTGTTATAGGCCATCTAAACATGTGAATACCAAGACTATAATAGTGCTTTCATAAATTACCTGATTTTTAATGCAACTATTTTTCCTGTTTTTGAAAAAAGAAAAAGAAAAGGGTAGACAAAGAAGTAGTTTTGTATGGAGACGAGAAAAAATGTTGCTTGGACTAAGTACTTACAGTAATTTAGTGCGGTTGTTTGGCATCGCAATTCCTCTGAGAGAATACTGTGATCTAGCATATCAAGCTGAAATATATATATCCTCATACTAAAATACATAAGATCTAGAAATAACAATTGAATATTTTTGAAAAAAAATTTGAAAACAGTATAGCAATTGATATTCAAAACTAAAGCTTAAAATGTATATAACACAGGCCGTTTCAACAAGCCAGATATCTAAATAATGTATTCTAAATACAATGGTAGAAATACAGCATGCTATGTTATGCCTAATAAAACATTACATATTCGCGTTTATATTTTATTTTTTTGTGCTGTCAAATAATCTGAAATGCTTACAAATTACATTTTTACAGATATACACATTCAATGATATTTAGTAACTGTCAAGCTTTTAGTGTTGAAAGAACCATAGAAAATATGAATAAAAGTAAACCAGATCAGATCAGATCAAATTAGATCAAATCAAATCACAACTTTTATTAGTCTCGCAAGAATAAAGTGGCCAAAGTGACCTTTATTTATTTATTTTAAAAATAATTATACAAAAATTCCAAAAATTCATAGATATTGTAAATATCAACTACACTATAGAAAGGACAGGATGCTTTATGGCCAAGATCTACCTCAATATGATATATATTTATTTATAAGAAATTACTTATTGCAGGGTATGATGGCAAACGTAACCAAATGTATGTTCACTATATAACACAATTAATTTCTAGCCCAAATGCAATATATAACCCAAGAACGCTTTCATACAACTGTAAATCAATGCCTTTTCTTTCTTAGTAGAAGAAAACCTTGATTATTATTTTTTCACTCAACAGTTGGTGAAATACTATACACCCACATATATGTACATAAAGCTAATAGCTGTTCCTGCTGTCTGTTTCTATAGTATATCCTCGTCATATTTATAGCAAAACCACCGTTGAAAATTATGGAGAAGGAGAAGGAAGGGGGGGGGGGGTATTTTTATTTTTAGTCTTTTGATTTTTATTTTTCAACAGTGAAATTTGAAAAAGTCACAAAGGGTCCAAATAAACAGTTGCTTGTTACCTATCTCTTCCTGGTGCCCCACATTATTTCTTTCTCTTTATACGTATACGTTTAATAACAATAAAACAGAATAAACCTTTTATTATTATTGAATGCGCACTTGAAAAAAAGACCAACTTTATTACTCACGCACAGTTCAAACAAGAAAAAAAATCAAACCAAATCAGCATCAGAATGTCTGAAAATGACCAAATAAACGATCTGGCCTCAATCGAAAGTGCTCAACAAGAAAATGCCCCACAATCGTCCTATGCAATCACTCGAAACGATACGATTTTATACCCGCTGGCAAACATGTCTACACCAAAGTCGATGAGGAGGATACTCTTTAATCTAGATGGCACCGAAAGTCTTTTTGAAGAAGTCTCCAGAAACCTTGTAAGATATAACCCAGGATTGTTTGCAACTTCCTACAAATCTCATCCTTATTCTTTGTAAGCTCGATGTTTCACAAGATGAGCTACCGATCCGATCCCCACGCAAAAGACCAGCATCATTCTTTGTGGATTCCCCATGTGACAATGACGATCAAACAGAAGACGTGGAAAATAGAGAAGATCATCAAAAGAGCATCCGTCAAAAACGATCATGTTCCAATGTTCAGTCTATAGCCAACTGCCACACAGGAACTCATCCGCCCCTTGAGGCCTCTATCGCACTCCCTATCGAGCCGCTCTTATCTGAGCACATACTTCATCCCGATCCTACCCTCTATACCACACTCACTGACACTGCAGATAGCCCCAATTCGGCTCTACCATCACCTTCACTTTCACCAGAAATGACTTCTGCAACGGACGAACTTTGGGAGGGTAATTCTTTTGAGCCAGAAGCAAATAGTCTTGTCGATCTTTTTGATGCCTTTCCTCCAAATCTCCAGTCATACGTCTTACTACAACTTTCCCGGAGAACATCAACAGATGCACTACGTAATGCAACTGCTCTTATTATGCAGTCACTTCGCACAGACATCTTGTCTCGCCTCCCTCCCTTTCTTACTCACATCATCCTCAGATATCTTGATATTCGGAGTCTCTGCCGGGCTTCTAGAGTGAGCAAGCACTGGCATACGCTAATCGAAAATGATGAAGAGCTGTGGAGTAGTAATCTTAAAACAGCAGGTTTTGTACTATCTCCAGATGAAATAAATGAAATGGAAAAGCCGTTTGCCCGCAAGCAGATCTACCGACGCCACCACATTATGCGTCTCAATTGGAAGTATAACCGAGCATCTCGAAAAAAGCTTTATGGCCACACAAATCATGCTGTTACTTGTCTTCAGTTTGATGAAGACAAGGTCATTACTGGATCGGATGATCATTCGGTTAATGTCTACGATATAAAGTCGGGGAAACTTATGCGTATTCTAAACGGACACAGTGGTGGAGTCTGGGCACTCAAATACGTTGGAAATACCCTTGTTACTGGCTCCACTGATCGTACTGTGCGTATCTGGGATATTAATGCAGGTGTCTGTCGGTACATTTTCCAAGGCCATTCAAGCACTGTTCGGTGCCTCACTATCATTGTACCGACTCCATCAATATCATCTACTGAGGAACATTCTCCACAGCCATCACAACCCCTTATTGTTAGTGGGTCCCGCGATTTTACTCTCAAAGTTTGGAGACTCCCGGACCTTGACGAACCAGTAATAGACACTGACCAAAAAGAGAGCACTTATTTATTACACACCTTAAGTGGACACACTCAAAGTGTACGTGCACTTGCCGCTCATGGAAGCACGGTTGTGAGCGGAAGCTATGATCATACAGTGCGTGTGTGGGATGTCGAGCATGGTAAAGCTGGCCATGTACTTACTGGACACACCCAGAAAGTCTATTCGGTTGTCATCGATCCCAAGCGTAACCATTGTATTAGTGGTAGTATGGATTCTTCCGTCCGGATCTGGAATTTAGAGGATGGTACTTGTGTATCCATACTGAGAGGTAAGCCAAAAAAAACAAAGAACCAAAATCAAAACAAAATCAAAAAGACTGAGAGGAAACACCACCCCCTTCCCCTTTTTTGTGTATGTGTTTTGTGTGTGCTCATGTGCATGTGCACATTTTTACGTGGATTGAAATCATTATAGGACATTCAATCCTTGTAGGTCTCTTGGGACTGTCGGGAGACTGCCTGGTAAGTGCGGCCGCTGACTCTTCGCTTCGAGTCTGGTCTGCAGAGACAGGCGAATGTCAATATCTTTTGGCTGGCCACAAGGGTGCAATCACTGCCTTCCAACATGATTCCCAAAAAATCATTTCAGGCTCGGAAGGAGGTCTCAAGATGTGGTGCACAAAGACAGGAACTCTATTACATGAACTCATTGATGATATCAGTGGTGTATGGGTCGTCTCTTTCGATGAAAGACGTTGTATAGCGGCCGTAAAGAGGTATATACATATATAAAGGCGATTAGAACTAGGTTACGGGCACATAGTGTATTCATACAAATAATTTACCATTTTTTTGTAGTGATGATGTGACACGTCTAGAAATTTTGGATTTTGGTGTTCATGGCTTGGAATAAACCATTAGAAGATATATATATATATATAATATATTTACTAATCATTTCGATTATATAGCTGAAACAATGTTGTTTCTTTTGATAGCTATTTTATTTTTGTGGATTTGAAGACTAATGTAAAATAGTGGTTGTAAAACAGTAAAAGAAAAAGAAATCCAAAAAAGAAAGGATTCGTACATTTGTCTCTTACTGTTTTAATCATGATAGTTAAAGATATTCTTTAAGGAATGGGTGGCAAAACCACATGGGCATATGTTGCTTGTTTAGGTTTGGTATTGAAAACAATACAAGCTTCTTTCCTCCGATTTGAGTCTGGATTATTGAGTTTATTTGGCCTGTTTCACTTATTTCATAGTCTACAACATCAAGTAGTTTTTTTTTGTAATGTAAAATTTACAGGGTAAAATTTAAAGAAATTCTTCTTATAACTTATCGGTAAGTTCAAAATGAGCATTAATGATACTATTGCAACAATAACCACAATAAAAAATCACATAAAAATATACTATTAAGATCCGTTTGAAACGGCCAGTAAAAAAAAATGTTTATATTTATATAAAAGGAGGGGTCAAAGTGACTATGCATGCTTTAATTTTAGTATTTCAAAACGCTCTTTCAATACAATGTGAACTTTCTTTCCTTCTTCTGTACATAACATTTTTTTTTAAGCGGAAGATGTCAAGTATACTTTTCAAAGTGTCTTCCTACCTACGTGTGCTTGGAAAATACATTGGCCCCGGCTTTATGATCGCTGTTGGATAGTAGGTATATTGGACTGCGTTTATATGTCAACCTAAACTCGTATTCATCTAATATTCATAATCCACTCTAGTCTTGATCCAGGAAACTGGGCAACAGATATGCAGGGTGGATCTGAGTATGGCTATCGACTTTTGTTCATCATCCTCATGTCCAACCTTGTCGCTATCTTTCTTCAAAACCTGACAATTCGATTAGGCACTGTTTCTGGGTATGACCTGGCCTCAGCTTCTCGGCGCTTCTTCCCAAAATGGATCAATTTGATTTTATATGTCCTCGCAGAAATAGGTATCATTGCTACCGACATTGCCGAGGTCATTGGCAGTGCGATTGCCCTCAATCTTTTGTTTCCAAAACTGCCATTACCTGCAGGTGTCGCCATTACAGCCGCTGATGTACTTCTTGTTCTCATGTTCTATAATGAGGAACCTGAGTCTGAAGGAAGTCAGACAGAATCCTCTTCTGCGCGTTTGGTCCGTTACTTTGAGATATTTGTTATGCTTCTTGTCCTAGCAGTCGGTGTTTGCTTCGTGATTGAACTAGCATACTCCGATATAGTGGCTGTGGATCTCTTTAAGGGGTTTTTGCCTTCCAAAGAAATATTCACTGACGCAGGCTGTCTATATTCCGCAATTGGAATTATTGGAGCTACAGGTAAGTTTTAATAACAACCTCAATGCAAACTAATATTGTATTAACTCTGTTCTGGGCTTAATAGTAATGCCACACAATCTCTACCTCCACAGCTTTATTACTCAAGGCCGATGCCAAGAATGGCGTTCACGTAGACCCCGCGTCATTAAAGAAGGAGAGGAAGGCTGGGTTGTTAAACCGAACATCCGCTCAGTATGCACAGATGGAGATGTAAATTATCTCAATGCAACTCCAAAGGGGGACATCAAACCCTTGGTTGTAGACCCGGATACCATTTCGATTTCTTTGGAACGAGATACGTCTCAAAAGGTCGATGTTCCTTATCTGGCAAGATATATCGAGTCCAATATGAAGAACAACCTTCACTATGGTCTTGTAGATCTTGTATTTGCGCTCTGTTTTGCGTTTTTTGTCAACTGTGCTATTCTCATCGTCGCATCATCAAATTTCTTTTATGGTCCAAATACACAACGCCAAAGCGTCCAAGATCTCTTCAGCGCGCACGACCTACTGAACACTTATTTGGGTCCACCTGCTGCCATTGTATTTGCCTTGGCCCTCCTCTGTGCAGGTCAGTCAAGTACACTGACAGCAACCTTAGCAGGTCAGGTGATAATGTCTGGATTCCTCGGTATGTCGTCTCGTCCTTGGGTACGTCGTATCCTCACCCGGCTTGTGGCAATTGTGCCTGCAATGGTTGCAGCCTGTGTCACAGGACGCGAAGGTCTCAGCACAATGCTGGTAGGAAGTCAAGTGGCACTGAGTATCCAATTGCCATTTGCTGTTGTCCCTTTGATCATTTTTACATCCATGGAACGCTGCATGAAGCTTGACCTTGTTGTTGAGCACAAAGATCTGCAACCCAGACCATACCAGGAGAAGTCGCGTTTTGACAAAGCAGTAGCCCTTTGGCGCTCCCAGATCTTTCAGATCTTCAATCCGACCAGATTCTCCAAGAAGGTTTTAAACTCTCTGGACAACATGCGCAACTCGAGTGCAAGTAAGCAGGAAACACAAAGTATGAACAGCGCCCTGCCATTTGAATCTGTAGTGTTGTCAACAGAGAAATCTGTCGCCCCGAAATTAAAGTTAGACAAATGGCCAAAACCTATCATCGTCAAGAATGGTTTGATCACCAAAATCGTTGCAATTATATTATCAACAATCTTGATTGGCTTGAATATCTATATGGTAGTAGCTCTAGGACTTGGTATATAAAGTATGTCTTTTGTATCTTCTTGTTTTTTCTCTTGCATTTTATCATTACATTACATTGCATTACATCATATAAATACACTCTGACAAGATAAAGCAATGATGTCACTTGTCCAGAAATGCACCATGCTTTTGACCACACCTTATTTGCTTTCCTTTTAAAAAATGATCTTCTTGCAACTCAATCCCTCCTATCATCAAGAAATAAAAGCACCAGAAGTCCTTCAACTAGCCTCAAGCTATTAGTTTTTGAATATGGTGGTATTATCTGGCCGTATAAAGCCAATAAGACCAAACTCCTATTGCAAACCACATGAGCATCTATTTGACAACGATCAATAATCAAAGCTTGTGGTGACCACACCTGATAGTAAGCTTTAAATTTTCTTTTTCTTTGACTTTTAGAGAATATATATAGCTATCTAATGAGAATAAAATTTAATCGTATCTAGCTAAAGTTTTTATCTTATTTTATTTAGAAGATATAGCTTAAAAAAGCTGATGTACAGTTTATTCGATATTAGAAATCAAGAAATCTGACAGTGATTTCTCCAACAAGAGTGTATAAGCCTTGATGACTTCCCCGGTCGAAATAAGTCAAGATGTTTGTAAGCACGCTATACACCGGTAGTTATACATGCAGGGTATCATTTGCAAGACGGACAACAGTTGATCCTATCAATTCTGTTGAACTCACAACAAATGACTTTAATATCGAGGAAATCACGGGGAATTTCCGAGCATGTACAGTAGAACCTGGAAGAAGAGATGTCTTCGATTCATGACATAGTGATTATGATACAAGACGCTTAACAAGCAAAGAATACTACAATGCATCTACTAGCATTAAGCGAATGAGAAATGAAGATGCAAGAAAAGTGACCCAGGGGATCAAAGAAATTGAAACAAATATTCCGTCAGTAAAAACAACACCAATAGAGAAACTTCTGCGGCATATCCAATAAATCGTAGCCAATATGCTTATATATTATTCGGCTCTTTTTAAACTTCAGTGTGACAGAAATATATTGAAAGAACTTTAGAGGTAGACAGCAAACCCTAAATAATTGATTTAATGTCCTTATTCATGAACCCATAAGTTATAATAAAGAAAGAATGAAAACCCTCTGAAGCGTCTCAATCTCAAGTAGAAACTCTGTATTTATGAGTTTACACATTACACTTTACACTTTTGATCCAATTTAATACACGATCCTAGAAATAGCTTTTTGTGCCATATAAATCAGGACATTAGAGAACTTGGTCTTTAGTCCAAATATTGAGAAAAAGATAGAATCAGAAAGAGAGAAAGAAAGTTTAGTGCTAATTATTTAAGTTGGATAACTTACTCCTAAGTACGGGGTACCTTGCTGGTATACAAGACAAAGTTTCATTGAATCGTTGCGACTATTGTTTTCACATAAAATAACAATAATACTGGCATGAAATAATGTAATCTGTAATAACAGCAAGGCAACTTGCCTAGCCATGGGATCTCTACTCCATTGAGTATTACAAGATTCGCAGTTGGGAACTAGATAGATCTTCACATTGGAGTCGTAAAGTGGATTGGATGTACTGCTTGTATGATATCTGAGGTATACTTAGCTTGTAATATACTCATCGATCATAACTACACACTTTGCTGCATGGGTTTAGTTGCGTCTAGTTGATTTTATGTAATTTAACAAAGCCGTTCTGAATGTCTTTGTTGGCGGAGCTATGCTCACACGAAGGCCACAAAAACGAGTAACACTAAACGCCACCATAGTAGGTCTTTTGGCCTCAACAGTATTTCATTGTGCCACTTTTGGAAGCAACAGCAACCTGACAGCATATTCTCATACTTTGTAACAGACGATCATTAAGTTCAACATCTAGTCTTGCTATTTCTTCTCGTGGGACTACCTTCAACTGACCTGCAGTATTAATGTATGTTCTTCTGCTTTCGAAATGTCTTTCAAGAGTATCTCAGATATTCTTCATTGGGCTCAGATCAGGGATTCAAGAGGGCTAATATTCAAAGCCTCTGATATTGTGCGTCTCTTTCCACCATCGAGGATAATCACCTCTAATGGTTCAAGACCTCCACCCCAAAAACGTATTTTCGAATTAACTGAGACATCTCTCCACTTTAATGTTAAAATTACATGCCTTTATTCATCTTTTTCTTCAAATTTCCTGAGAGCTCTATATCCTCAAATTAAATATTTTATACAGAATTTTGACTTATCCAACCAAACAACGCTTTTCCATTAATCATCAGTCCAATTGGCGTGACATTTTGCCCATAGAAGTATTGCTTTAAGCTGTTTTGGTTTAACCTCAGCTTATGGGTTGTCTTGAAAAAATTGAAATCAAGTTTGTCAACATAAGAGAAGAACTTCATCCTACAGACAGATACACCTAACGCTTCCAATCTAGTGTGAAAGTCTCTATAAGAGATAAAAAGGTCTTTTTTTATAATAATACTTTATAAATGTCTTATGGTTAATTCATCCGCTTCTCTCGCTGAATCAAACTTAATAAGATTAGATAGTTTGGTCTTTAACCCGAATGTCATTTACACACGGGTTCATATTCATATACTGTTCATCTTATTTCAGCTGAAGATCGACTTTAGGCTCTACCCCAAAAGGAAGTGACTCAAATTTATGTTACACAAAGTACTGAATATATATGCGTTTAAAGCAAGCCATCACGACGGCACTAAAGATTATAGGTACGGGAATGTTTATCGGTTACCACCACAAGCAATTCAATACAAATGTTATAAGCGCAAGGAGACCAAACACATGCTCGTGTGTGTATAATTATGGATGCCAAAAAGAAAAATAACTGATTACAGCAACAACAGCAATACTAACAAGAAAAAAACACTTGCCCCTTGTAATCAATCCACATACTAGGTCCTTTAAATTATTTAAAAATTAGAGAATATAAATAATAACCAAATCGTATACAGCCAAGAAAACCCTTCGTAAAACTTATTGACACTTAGCTTATACACGTATAGACTGAAAAAAAATTAGATGCTATAATTGGATTCTATCATTATTTTTTAAAAAAAAATACACACGCACTTTGACCTAGAAATCACTTTCTTGCCGTTTCGTGACGTGGCTTCTTCTGCTTCACTTCACAGGTGTCACAGTATTCAGTCTTTGCCATCTTTCAACCAACCTTACTTCACATCTTTATAATTCATCTCGTTGGCTAAGAGTGTTTACAGCATCAAAAAGCTCTTTTAACATTCAGAACCATCATTCTTTAAGAATCAGACAAAAACACGCAATTAGTTTTTTTTTTTAAAAAAAAAAAAACAATTCAGGAAATCGATTGCCTATTTTCCTTTCCTTTATTTTTCCCCTGGCAACCTTTTACCCTTTTAGCTAACTCTGTAAAAGTATGAGTGGGCTCACGGCATTCCTTCAAACCGAGCTACTTTCTTTATCAAGTGAGGCAAGACGAAAACACCCCGAAATAAAAGAGGTTCGTGTATTGCTGCAGGTCTGGAAGGGGTACAATATTCATCTCCATTCGGGACTAGGCAGCTGAGCGTCTAAGTGCCATACTTCGCAGCTTCAAAGAGCGACCTGGATACAGTATAGCAAACGGTTCGAACCCAGTGGTTATATATATATACTCTTAGGAATGGCAATAGCATATTGAATGAATCTTTGCTTTTAATCTAGAGTTATCGAAATCAGATGACGCTCTCAGACCATTTGTACTTGCTTGCGAGACGAAGCAAGTCAAACTAGTGACAATCGCCATTGGTTGTATACAAAAGCTTATTTCATTTCATGCCATACCAGAGGTTAGACTCACCTTAAAAAGAAGAAGAAAGAAAGATAAAACTATTCGAGACACAACCAGATAAACTAACGTTTGATCTTTCAATGAAAACTACAATGTCATTATAGACTTCAGTTCGAGTCATATTAAGAACACTCACAGATATCAGTGTTCATGGTGTCGAGATCCAGCTCAAAATACTTCAAACAGTACTCCCTCTCCTTACAAACTACCGCAGTGTACATGATGATATCTTGGCAGAAGTAAGTAATATGTGGATCAATAAATACAGACGGAAGGATCAAGAAGAAGGAAAAGACGAAAAATGAGAAAGGTGAATTATGCCCAAAAACTAAAAGAGGAAAAAAAAACCTATGTTCTGTTTTTCTTTTGTGTTATAAAAAAAAAGGCCTTATTGATCTGCTTTCGGTTGCAAGATTCAAAAATAGCTGTTGTCAATAACACTGCAGCAGCTACTCTACGCCAATTGGTAATTTTTGTATTCGACAAAGTTGGAAAAGAAGACTTGCTGGGTTTGAGAGAAGAAGATGCCAACCACGGTAATTAAGTTTTACATATATTTAAAGAAAGGCTGGTTTGTAAAAGTTGTAAAAGGCTAAAAGGAAACGCATGTATAGAGATCCAATTAGGTGCTGGAGATACTATTAAATTACATCCATGCGCCAAAGATGCATTTTACCTATTCCGTGATCTTTGCCTTTTGACAAGCGGAGACCCTCCAGAATATCTGAGACTTCATCATCTCTCAAAGACCTTTGGGCTTGAACTAGTTGAGAGTGTGCTGGCTAACCATTATGCACTTTTTAAAGAGGTATAATATAGTACTGTGGAATATACGTAATGAACACTGTTTAATTTTGTTTTATATTAGCACAAAGAGCTCAGTTCACTTTTGCGAGAAAGTGTGTGTCCATTAATCATCAAGACTTTCTCGGAGAAGCATGAATTTCCTCAGACAATGAGATTATCTCGCGTGGTTGATATTTTAATCCGACAATTCAATGAGATTCTGGTAAAAATAATAGTTTTTTTTATCTTGAGCAATCTGAAAGATACCTGTGTTAATTTCAGTATGGCTCAATAGATGACAGAGTGTGAAATATTCTTGTCAATGTTCGTGAAAGTACTGGAGCCAGAGAATCCATTATGGCAACGTGTACTAGCAATGGAGATATTCCGTGGTGTATGCTCAGATTCTGCCCTACTATGCTCTATTTACAAGTGGTATGATCGTCAGGCAGGATCTACTGACGCATTCCGCGATATGATTACAGGGTTTGGACGGCTGGCTACCGAAAAACCTCAATTGATTGGGGCAACGCAAGGTGGAAGAGAGAGTATTGAATATGGGTCGGGTGCTGCAAGTCATATACACCATATGACACATCCTAACCCACCCACCAGTGATAACAGTGGACCTGGATTAAGTGCTTCTGGATCTTCAATGCGTATACAATGGTTTGTTTAATGGAGCTGTGTCTCGAGTGTTACTTTATATAGTCATCTAATTATATTTGTGGGTTAATTACGCTAATAGTATTGACCAACTTGACAAAGCTGATCCACCTGTTATCCCAGAAACCTACATATTCTATTTAGCTCTTCTTTGTTTAAATTCTATAGCCGACGGTTTAGCTGGATTTGTTCTCCCGATGTTTTCTCCTGGAAAGAGTCTCAGTGCTTCAACTAAAGCTACGTCTGACGAAGAATCTCGCTCAAAGTCCGGTTCCAAAGCTGATACCACAGATAACTCAAAGATGAGTCTTGTCACAGACATGACAAATGTAGCATGGCCAGGCTTATTAGCCGCAATGTCATTTTACATTTCTTCAAATCTTGATGAAGAACTGTTTCAAAATACAATGAGATCCTATCAAAATTTCACAAACGTTTGCGGAATGCTTGATCTTGTCGTCCCACGCGATGCTTTTTTGACAAATCTTTGTAAAAACGCTATTCCGCCCAGTCCTGTACTATCCTCTGGTTTCTTTTCTGGAAAAAACACCGGTAGTTCTACAAGTATTGCGACTATTACTACAAACTCGCTCGCAGTGTCCTATTCGGATTTGTCTGTTCAGCAACAACAAGTACTGGCCAATATTTCCTTGAGCGATAAAAATTTGTATAGTCTTCGGGTGTTACTCAACATTGCGATGTTCCTTGGAGGTGTTCTAGGACCCTCATGGTACCTTGTTTTGGAAACACTGCAACAAGCCGATCTGTTGTTGATCAATAGACCCATACCAAAAGGAACGAACAACCCCCCAGGATCGGCATCAACATCACACACAGTACGCAGAACATTGTCAGGTACACCAAGTAATGGCATGAGTTCCGTTTCTGGACATCAAAATACTGCAACAGGTAAGGATGCACCTCTTTTTTCTTAAAAAAAATCTAGTGAGTAGCATGACTTTGTCTATATTACATTTTTAATTGTTTTTCCAAATTAATATTTTTTTATGTGCTTATATAGGACAATCAATGAATAATCAGTACATGGATGCAGACCATACTGCCATTATCCAAACATCTTTAAAAAGGTTATTTGATAATAGCAAATACTTGGATAACGATGCATTTGTTGCCTTTACTACCGCACTTTGTCGCTTGAGTGCCGAGGCTAGTGGAGTACATTTCTCGGGTGGAGAGGAAATATCGACAAGCAAGTCTTCCAGAATTGTAAGGAAAGATTATCCAGTATTGTTAAATAAAGAGATCCTCAATGGTATTTATCATGCTCTTGTAACTACAGAAACTGTTCAACAAAACGTCTTTTGCGATCGACCAATTGTGTTATATCTCGACACTGAACATGAGCCGACTGATAAGCTCAGAGGGAGATCCTGTCGCGTGGGATCTCATCATAACGCATTTAATTGATACGGCTAACTTTGCCTCTACTCCTGCATCAATTCGTACTCAATGCTGTGAGGTGATTTCCACCATAATAATCACTGCCATGAATCAAATTATTGCAGAGCAAAAGGAAGCAGACAACAAAGCCCAGCCACGATTGTTAGCGGCATTGAGTCAGTGTATCAACTACAGCGAAGAAAAGTCGAAATCTTGGGAGGTTAATAATGAAAAGGGATCAAGTGGTGTAAAGGCATTTGGAGAGGTACAAAAGATGGCACTTGAGACGCTCAACAAAATCTTGGAGACTTCTGGCCACTCTTTTACCTGTGGTTGGGGTATTGTATTTGATATGCTCCGTCATGTAACAGTCACTTCGACCGCCCATCCAGACTATACCGACGAGGATGATGAGGATAAGAGTGGGGACGAAGACTCTAAACATGAACGGGCTAGCATTGATACCACCACATCATCACTAGTTACTGCCAATGCTGGGCACGCGAGTACAAACAACAAGGCATCAGGTGGCCTTATCAAGGTTGCATTTACCAGCTTACAACTCATATGCACTGACTTTCTCTCACTTTTATCGCCTGATTGTTTAAGACAATGCATTGCCACACTTGGCTCATTTGGGATGCAATGTGAGGATCTGAACATTAGCTTGACAGCTGTAGGTCTGCTGTGGAATCTTTCGGATTTCATTCAAACAAAACGTCTGGATTCCATAAAAGACTTAGAGAGTGACACCAGTGATGAGGCTATTGAGAAAGAAAGCATGAATATTGATCTGCCTATTACTGATGAAGAATCTCCTCAGGTGTTTAGTATATTGTGGATGTTACTGCTTCTGCAGCTCTCACACAACTGTACCGATTGGAGACCCGAAGTTCGTAACGGTGCCAACCAGACATTATTCAGAACAATCATGATGAACGGAAACCTTTTGGGCCCTCACATGTGGAATGCTTGTGTCTGGCAGGTTCTTTTCCCCCTTCTTGATACCATCAAGATGTCAGCAATCAGGGCTACACGAATGATGCAATCTGGAAAAACGAGCTTAACTACCTCATCTCCTGATCGAGATACTTCTGGATTTATGCTCCACCACTCACGCGACACAGCAGACAAGCAATGGGATGAAACAAAGGTTTTAGTCCTCACTGGGATATCTAAAATCTTCCGTGACTTTTTTGAAAAGCTCCAGGCACTCGATAATTTCAAGCAAGCTTGGTCTCTACTCTTGGCTCACCTGGAAGATTCCTGTTTACGATCCAGCCAGGAGGTTTCATTAGCAAGCATTAAGAGCTTCAAGAACATAGTCACTCTCCCACCGGACGATAAGAATTTCGACAAATCGATTGTTAGCCTCTGGAGAAGTGCATGGCGCTCTTGGGAAATTATTGGAAATGGCATAATGATGGTCCCAAGCACAGCAGAAGAAGATAATGAAGAGACACAAGAGAATAGCTATCGAAGCACATTAGACTCCGAGCTCCTCCCTCTCACTTTGTCTTTATCATCATCGAGTGCAGCACAAATTTCAGATGATTTTACACAAGACACTTTAACAGCCTATATTAGAATGTTTGTTGATCTTTACAGGGTAATTGCACCGGGATTTAGTCTTGAGGACATCGGGTCTTTGCTTGGCGTACTGCGAAATATGCTAGTTTACTCCACAAGTCCTGAATATCGGCCTGATATCGATAATCTTTCTCCGCTTCAGGAGGGTGTATTAGAAGTTATCCAAACTCTAGACATGACAGTACCTGGGGTCCCACCTCTTGTCTTGATGGACATTTCAGAATACATGACTCTCGCATTCTTGAGCCCACCAGATGACGCCCAAAAAACAAAGGGTGGTTACATCCCGCCTTCCCAACGTAAATTTTCCACCGTGACCTACATTGCCCTAAACAAAAGGTGCAGCACTATGGTTGCACACTTGTTCAAGGCTCATGTTAACAATAAAGCCTTGTACACCGAGGGTGTTTTTGAGCGAATTATCGGGGCGTTTGGATTGCCCATGAAGCTCAAGTACGACTGCCCACCATCTCACAAACATGGCGACGACAAGACGCCTCTGTGGAAATCAGCTACACTGGGATTACTGGATGTGCTTGAGGTTGGATTGGAAAAATTACGGGATATTAAAGGCAAGTTTATATTATTTATAGTATACGCATAGACGAATAGATGATCCGATCTGATATGTGTATATATGCTATAATATTGATAGAAGTACCAATTGAACGCTTTGTTGGTGTATGGAGAGCGCTTGTAGACATCTTTGAAGGAAGTCTATTGTCTCCAAGGTAAAGAAACAATTTTTTTAAGAAAAAAAGTCTAAACTAACAATATTTGCAATAGCACGCCTCCATCGTCGATGACTATTGAAGAATTAGATGTTGATGAACATTTTGATATATCTGTCTTGAGTGTGATACAAAATGATGTTGTTGTTTACATGGGAGAACCTCGCGTGCCAATAGAGGTTATCCAAAAACTTGTGAATGTTATTCGAGAGAGTTCCCGCTTATATTATGTGGATGCAAACGAAAATCATCACCGAAGAGAAGAGGCAGATCAGGAGAGCCCTAGAGAACTCAAAGAAGCCTACGGAAGGAAGAGTGCGAATTACAGGTCGAGTGATATCATTGGTACTACTGGTACTATTGTGCCTGTCATGAAGGAGTCGTTTGCTTATGCAGCACTTCGAACTTTATTTTCTCTCTGCTCTTCTGAGAAACAAGGTAAATAGGAAAAAAGAAAGAAAGTTATTCTGGGAGTTGTTTAAAGACTGAAGAGAGAGAGAGAGTGACTAACAAAAAAGGTATTATCAAAGATCATCTGGAAGTTCGGAAGCGTATAGCACAGGTCACTATCCCTGTACTTCTTGAACGATGCGAGACTATCTTGCGGAACTATACAGCCGATGCGCCTTTGTTGGGAAGGTGTCCGTTTCCAAGGTACTTGATGGGGTGAGATGATTATTGATGATAAAAATCTATATTGTAAAACACGACTGTATTCCTGAAGCATAATACTACATAGCAATTATTGACTGATGCCCTTCTTTTATATATATATCGATAAATCATCTATTATTTATAGGGTACGTAAAGAGGAGATAATATTTCTTTTGCAGCAATCTATCCATTTAAAGCTACAGAAAAACATTATCAAAGATGAAAGTGAAGAAAAGGGTATGTGCCAAATATATTTGTATATAGATATGCACTATGTGCGAGTGAAGACAAATCTACAATATAAACTAACATCCAGAATTAGGCACCATAAGACACCTGGTTTTGTCTGGACCAAGAGCCCACTTATTCTATCTTTACCCATCCCTGTGCAATATGATTTCATGCGATGATGCGGTTGTGGTCGAATTGATACGCGAGTGTCTGCAAACTGCGGGAACAGAGATGGGGCTCATGTTACATTAAGCATTAGTTGGTCATCTAATCTGCCTTGTTTGTGTGTATAATATAATATAATAATAATATATAATATAAATATTTTGTCCTTGAAAGGCAAGCCTGGCTTTGTTGATTTTTATGCAATACAATCTATCAGATGCAGTGAACAGGCCTTTGTGTATATATCTAAGGTTTGCTGCATATGACTTGGTGCAGCTTTATCTAATCAAAACAAGAACAAGGGGGTGCAATAACTCACAGACACCAACCCAATATGATACTAACGACGCGTATTGTTTTTCTTCTTATTTTTTTAAAGTGTCTTTTTGGTTTATTTAAATATGAATATATGTATATATGAATGTATGAATATATGTATATGAATGTGTGCTTAGGGAAAAAAGAAAGGAAAAAGCTGCGTGAATAAAGCAAGTAATATACAACATTAACATGAAAGAAAACTGATGAACTATATGGGATTAGGGTGTATTTTGTTTGTTTTCAGTCAGATACAAGACTGTCTAATTCCCCTTCGCATTGGTCACTATCCACAAGGCTTAGTAACTCTTCATCATCACTATGTCTGAAAGATATATTCTGGGAACCATGTGGTGGTGGTGGTGGTGGTGATGATGATGCTGATGAGTTGATAAGGATAGTATGAAGATTTTGTGTTTCCCTCAAAGCTTGCTTCTGTTGGTGCGACCGTACAAATGTGGTGTTCAAAGCGTGTCTGGAATGGTTTTGGGGAAGTTCTTTTTGGCGACCCATCCACTGTTTCAGCATCTTTTTGGCTACAATTTTTCCTCGTAATCGGTCAGTTATTGCCTTGAGCCGTTCGTTTTCGGTGCGTAATTCTTGTAGCTGACGCTCTAGAACAGCATTTTGTTCCGATAGACAGCCAATCATTTGCCTCATTTCGTTCTGCTGTTGGTTCTTCTTTTGTCGATATTTAGCTGACGCAGTTTTGTTGCGTAAACGTCTTTCCTGTAAAGTCAAAATTGGTGCTACCGACGATAGATCTGTGCTGATAGAAGAGATCGAACTTCGATGAGGAACAAGTGATAGAGAAACAGACGATAATCCTGAGCTGAATGAGTGAGGAGACGAAGGTGGGGACGTAGACGCTATTCTTCTTTCCTCGGGTGTTGTTGGAGGTGACTGTAAAGCAATACTAAAAGATTGTCTTGGAGATATTTGGTGGTTTTTATTCGAGATAATCCGTGTAGGACGAGACGGTGATAGTGGTGAGTATATAGGTCCAGTCATGATAGAAGAAAGAGACATGGCTTTGCCAGGCAACCGATCTATATGTGTTGAACCATTCATCATTATTGATTTGTTTTTGAAAGAAGAAGGTTGAAAAAAAAGACAGAAGGGGTTGTCCCTTGATAAGCACGGCCCAGTAAGCAGGTATTTATGCAAAGTCGATGAGCTATCTGTCGATGAATGACTTGACTGGTCATTACTGTTTACAACCTACATATAGTTTTTGTATGTGCGTGTGTGTGTGTGTATCTATATATATATGTGTGTGTGTGTGTGCTCCTTATACTTTATTTAGCCATATTAAAAAAAGTCATTGACAGTTCAAGTGTTTCGAGACAAAGTTTGTTTGACTTATTCGCAACAACATTTTTTTACTTCAATTTTCATCACGACCTGTAGTGCATTCACAAATAGTTTTTTTTTGTATATCTTTACACTTGCATTATTTGTCTGCAAAAAAATATAACATCATTTTTATCATATAGGCTGGGGATAGAGATTGTCTTTACTCTCACTCTCACTCTCACTCTCACTCTCACTCTCACTATCATTCTTATTTTTCTTTGAATATCAAAATATCGTCCCATAAAAAATCTCCCTAAAAAAACAAAAAACAAAAACAAGAGAGATTGAAAAGTAGGGATGAAGTAGGGTCATTAATTAAGTTAAAAGAATCTTCTTTAGCTATATGATGCAGCCTTTCTATAATAGACAATTTTTTAAAAGAGGACGTTTTTTTTATTGAAAACTTTAATTCTATACACGGTAATTTTAAGTCGTTTATGTAACACGATATATCAGATAACTTGCTATATGACCTTAACTACCCTTTACCAAGATTATCAGCCTTGTCGTATTAGTGATTAACCTATTAATTGGCTTGGAATTGAGAGACAATTGTTATGATAATGAGGTAGAAAAAATGGCCATTATGCCCTTGTTAACATACATTATTATGAATAATTGGGTAACAAAATATTTATATATATATATTGTGTTTTGTTTTGTTTCCAAGGTTCTTACTGCTATAAAAGAGGATTTACGTTATGATTTACTTGAATTTGAGCTTATTCTATTAAAGCAAGCATATTCAAAGAACAACTTAGTAGGTTTGCCGCCTCAACAATGCGCTTAAGAAAACATATACGTAAATCTTGTCGCAAGTAAGAGTTTGCAGAGGTATTGGGAGCATCTTACATTATGTGTCCAAATTGTAGAGGAAGTTTAACACACGAGTTTACATTTTTTGATAATCGTATCCTGATCCTTTAGGACAGATACTCTGGGCAAGCAGATGTGTAGAGATCTGAATACTTTTTTTACTTGATCAAGCTTATTCTCGGTAGTCCGCTCTTTACATTCTTTCTTTGGCTTTAATGTTATGCCATACAACCTTTTCGCAGTTGATTACTTGACTTTTTGAAACAGAGAAGTGTGACTTTTGAAGATTAACTTCTTTCTACTAGTTATGAGAGTGTCTTTGAGAGTGATCAAGATCATACTTTATTGTATATAAGAGTCCAGTATGTGAAATAGAAGAAAGTAAAGTAGAAACCCCAAGGCAAATAATCATATTTATACTAAACTTTTTGATATGCTAATATAATAATTGATACCATGTACCATATAATAATCTTTTGCAAAGAGCAAATTTATATCTCTAGTTGAGATTATAATACACGTTAGCCAAGAGCCGCTTTATATAATTTATGCTATAAATCTTAAGAGAAATATCAGGTAGATATGTCTTTACTTATCCAGAGTATAAGGCCCAGTTTTAAAGGGGTAATGAAACATCAGGGTTTAGAATATTTTCGCAAAATTTGTAATTCACTTGGCTTACACCTACGTTGATGGTTTGACGGATTAGCTAGCAGGTTATCTAATAAAGAGAAGACGCTTTAACGATAGATTTTTATTTTATTTTATTTTATTTGAAGTTTGGTATTGTTTTCTAATGCTATACATGCTCTAGCAGCCAATAGAGTCGCTTAACAAGATATGCAAGTGCTCTACTCACAAAAAGAAAAGTAATTGAACTAAAAAGTTTACTTTTTTTGCACTCATGTAAAGTATATAATTTACGTATGAGAAATTGGTCAATCTTTTTTTTTTGCAGTGGTAGTTTTACACTTTTTTCTTTCTATTTGAGAAAATATTTATCACAGTATCCGCCTAAATATGAGAGGGAAGAGAAAAACATGCAAAAAAGAAAAGACAAATGACATGAAAGTTAAGAATAAGTAACTAGGTACTGAAGACTCTTAAATTGGGAACGAATTTCAGCAGGGATAAGAACTGCAAAGAGATATTGCCTTTAGAAACCTTGGCCATCAATTTATTGATTTTGAATACACAACGATACCAGACAAAGTCTGTCTTCATATGCATGATTTTGGGCGGACACAGATGGTAGAAGCTGACGGGGAACAGTGGAGATTTTTGACATAAGGCCCAGGCCCGCACATGCGTTCAATATTTTGAGATTACTTGTTTACACTTCTATTGGTAAGATTGGAACAAACTCCACAGGCAAAAATTGCTAAAAGACTACCTGCTTAAAATTGTTACATTTTTCGCCTTTTCCTTAGGCCTCTAACTCCACGTTTTTCATAGAGAACGCCAAAAATGGGTGAAAGTCGCAGTGAGTCAAGCCAAGTGACTTGAGAGGCGAAGTATTTTTTTTAAGATATAAAGAAGAAAGAGAATAATGATCGGTGTAACTTTTATGAATCAATGTTAACGAAATTGTTTTCTAGCCAAAAAGAAAAGGACTGCCGAGAAAATGAATGACAATTGGGTGTCTAATTTCTGCACAGCCTGGTACTTTCTATAACCATAATGGAGGTTTTGAGAAGGCTAATGATTGAACCACAGAAGATTCAGATTATCATGCTGCCCTTTTCGTTACTTCGTCGTCCATAGGACTATATGCTTTTTTGCAGATATCAGATTAATTTTTTTTGTCTGATAGTTCGGGTACGATCCTCGTTATCTCCCACTGTGAATCTCTTTTTAACAAAATCAAGACAGTAAAAAAATGTAATAATAAAACAACAGCCAACCGTATTATTATTATAGACAAGCTTAATGGCACACTGTGAGTTGGATATATAGTCGAAGTATAAGTTCAGCGACAAGAAAATGAATATCTGTAGAAGGACAATTTTAGTAAAGAACAAATTAAAGAGATCTAGTTAAATACTTTGGGTCATTTTTACAGACACACCACCGCCACTTCAAAGTTGATTTGAATGAGACACCACACAAATCTGGAACAGCAAAAATATGGACGGAATTTTTATTTGTCTGCCAAATTAAGGGGACACTTTTGTCCAATTTACACTGTTTTCCAGTTTTCCAATTTTCCAGATTTAGGACAATATTTTTGAATGAGCTATACCAAAACCAAACCCCGTCGTGCCATAGTGAACTGAATGAACCACTTGACAAATCCCGAGAGCAAAAAATTTGGGACAAAGTGTGAATTTGCCCATCAAATTAAGTGTACACTTTTGACCAATTTACTATGTTATCGGGATATCGGGCTATCGTGATTCAGGATTATATTTTTGAATGAATGCCTCATTAGAAAATACACCTTGTCTACCTTACCAAGGAACACAAGTATAATAAGACAGCTCTCAAGTGTAATATAGTAGTACCAAAAACATTATTAATAATATTTTTTAAAGACAAATGTAAGATCAAAATCAAAAAGAGACAAAAACATAAAGATAGTATCAAAGTCAAATGAGATCAAAATTTATTGTTCAAAGATTTTTAAAAGGGGAATATAAGTTAAGTTAAATTAAATTAAGTGTACTAAGATATTCCAGGCCATGCTAGTCCAGTCGAGTCCAGTCGGTTCCAGTCAAGTCCAGTCGGTTTTTTTTTGGTCCATTTGATTTTTCTTTTGATCTTTTTTTTTGTCCGTTTTTTTTTTCTTTTTTTTTTGTCCAGTCAATATAAGCAAAGAGTGATAGGAGGAGGAGGATTTTGGTGTTGAAAAATAATAAAGGGGATAATTTGGACTTTTTGTTTTTTTTCTTGTTTTTTTTTGATTCTTTTTTTGATTCTTTTTTTTTTTTTGTCCAGTCAATTTCACGGAATAGTAATAAGAGGATGATTTTGATATTGAAAAGAATAAAAAAGATAATTTGGACTTTTGTTTTTTTTTTTTTTGCTTTTTTTTTTGTCCAAACACAGCACACATAATAAAGGGAATAATTTGGACTTTTTGATTTTTTTTTGTCCGAACACAGCACACATAGTAAAGGGGATAATTTGGACTTTTTGATTTTGATTTTTGATTTTGATTTTTTTTTTGATTTTTTTTTACTTCTTTTTTTTTGTCCAGTCAATTTCACATAATAGTAATAAGAGAAGGGGGTTTTGGTATTGCTCTTTTTGCTCTTTCTGTTTTTTTTTGAGCATTTTTTTTTTGCTTTTTGTTTTTGATCAAAGACTTCATTTGCTTTGTATGTATATATGTAAAAAGGGATTTCATACCTTGTCCTGATCCAGAGTCTTGTTCCAGTTCGCAGCTTTGCTTCAATCCAGGTCCAGGTTCCAATGCAGTGTTCTTCCGGTTTGTTCATCTTTTTTTTTTTTTTTGCTTTTTTTTTTTGCTTTTTTTGTTTGCTTTTTTTGTTTTTTTTTTTTGCTTTTTTTTTGCTTTTTTTGTTTTGTTTTTTTTTTTGCTTTTTTTTTTTTTTTTTTTTTTGAGAGAGAGGAGGGCTTAGTATATGCCTGTGTAATTTTTGGACAGGACTTAGTATAGGCCTCAGGGTCGGATTTCTTTTGATCCTTTTGGAGTGGAGGACTTAATGTGCCTGATCATTTCTGATAGGTTTTGGTCTACGCCTCGGTTTTTGGATTTGATCCTTTAGGAGTGGAGGACTTAGTATATGCCTCGAGTTCGGATTTCTTTTGATCCTTTTGGAGAGGAGGACTTAGTATATGCCCGTTTTTTTTACAGGACTTAGTATAGGCCTCGGATTTGGTTTTTGGTTTTT